CAGAGGCTGATGTTGCCGCATCGTTTAAGAAATTGAAGAATAAACTGATCATAGGGCCTGATGAGATACTTAGTTTCCCAGTTAAAGATTGCATTATGCCGTTGTTACAACCCTTAGTTTACATTTATAACCTAATTCTGGGGGAAATATAAATAGGTGTGAGCCGCAATTGACCAAGAAACCTAACCCCCTAACCTAAATCTACAAACAGGTAGGACTATCCGCCGAAAGGTCTCCCTACAGTTCGCGCACTTCTTGTCCTGAGGATACCTTTTTATCACATTGGGCTTTTACCTAGATAGCTGTTAGGTAATTTTGACATATCTCATTTTACTTCTGTTTCATTGAGCACTCAGTCCCAATCTGAGGTTTATTATAAAAATTGAATACCTAACAATAATCTTGAAACTTCAATCCAACTGAACCAAACTAAAATTTTACTTTATCTACTCTAATTTTGAATCTAAAAGTTCTTAGGAAAGGCATTTTTACGTTATAAGTAGTAATTTTAAACCAATTTTTTTTATGGGTACTGAAAGGGGACAGTCGAAACTTCAATCTAACTAAACCAAACTAAAATTTTACTTGATCTACTATAATTTTGAATCTAAAAGTTCTTAGGAAAGTCACTTTTACGTTATAAATAGCAATATTACGATCTTATATTAGTGCTACGAGATTCTATGGGATAAAAATGAGAATATCAAATTCATCAAAAAAATACGACCACTACGCTTTTTATTGGAAAATACAGGGTGTAAAGTTAGTAGTAAATCAACGAAATTCAGGTGATAGAGTGCCTCAAAACCTATCGAATGAACCCCTATATGTGTGGTCCGAATTTTTTTAGTTCGGGAGATATTTGCAATTTTGTGAAATTACGAAAAAAAACGGGATGATGAACTTGCAATCCCAGTTACAACTAAACCATTAGCTTTAGGGCTCTGTTTTATTTCTGAGATGAGGTAAATGGTTAGTTTTAGGAATGGTTATGTCACTTTTTAACAGAGCTCATTAGAAATCAACGCAAAAATTTTAAATTCATTTGCTTGTGAAAAATCTCTCCCATCCATCAGCTTTGGAGGGCGGTAAAAAAATGAGGTTGTATTTCATTTTTCATTTTACTGTAAAAACTATTTCAATCCATGTAGAATAAACCCTGAAAATTTCAGCTTGCTAAGCAATAGAATCCTTACCGCCTACAAGTACAGAACCTATTGTGTTTAGCCGCTCTTTATGGCGATTTACCGACAAATGTGGGAGATAATTTAATTTGATTAACTTTCAAAGAAAATCTTCGAAATGGCCTCCAATATTTTCTATACACAAGCTACAACTTCTGATAAAATGGTCCTTTAGTTTTTGAATTGAATTTGCGTTTTCTATAAACTTTATTTTTGCTTCATCAATTTTCTGGCGCAGTTGGTTGACATTCGTATATTCAGATGTATAGATTACCCCCTTATAAAACCCCCATATACAAAAATATAGAGAATTTAAATCGGGTGACCTTGGAGGCCATCGTTTGTGTACACCCCTACCTATCCAATGCCCAGGAAAGGCACTGTCTAAGTAATGGTAAAGGTGCATCCTCTAGCAGCTCATGCAAACTGCTTTGTAGAAAAGGAAGGTATGACTGACCATTCAACCTGGCGGGCAATTCATATGGTAAAATTAATATTATGTCGAGTACACCAGCCCATAAATTAACGCCGAACTGAGTTGAAAGCTGTGTCGGCGGATACCGTGTTGATTTTCCTGGCTCAATGAATGAAAATTTTGCATGTTGAATATTCCATTTCGGTTAAAGTTGGATTCATCTGACCATAAGATGCTGTCGAAAAAAGTTTCATGCTCTTCGCACCTTCTCAACATATTCTCACAAAATACGTCACAAAGACGCTATGAAGCAATTCTTGTACTTTTTGTACATGGTAAGGATGTATGTACTCCGATCGTAGTATTGTGTGCACTGGAGTGTGGTATATGTTTCTGCTTCGGGCAATGGATCTGGTGCTTATATAGGGATCTCTCTCGGCTGTTTTTATCATATCTACTATTCCTTCTGGGCGTATCCTTTGCGCTCCTAGCTAACGATGAGTGCCTATTATGCGGCCCTCCATATATGCATTATGGACGCGTAGAAAAACGCGGTAGTCGGGATATACTTGCCGGTTGTGGTCCACCTCTTCTAACCACATACTCCCGATACATGCGAGCAGCTGCTCGAGCATTTCGTAGGGCAGCACCATAATAGCAATGCATTTGTGCATAATCTTGCGGAGAATATGACATGATTCTACTCAGATGCTAAACGTTAGATGCAAATACCGCGCTGAACCATCGAGTGACTTAGTAATTTCTGTAGGACCGAAGATTGAACACTCCCGCACCTGGAATGGCGAGTTATTCGCCCAAGCTCATTAAACTGATTTGACAATCATCTATCACCTGACTATCGTTGATCCACTACTAACTTTACTCCATGTATAGTGGCAATGATATAATAGCAGGAATGTGCATATTATGTTCAACTAGATATTTGCGTTTAGCTAAGAATCTGCTGGGATCATTACAACTATTTAGGAAAACCGAGTAGAATTCATGCAAGGAGTCCCACTATTTCACCATAGTTGCTGTTTGATGGAGCGAATTTTTCGTCTTGTTCACCTTTCAAAATCACGAATTAAGCACAATTGTTCATTAACAATGACTGAGGCATTCACATCGCAATAAAGATGTATGTCTGCCTTGTTCTACGAGAGCACATCCAGTGCATATACAGGGTGACTTCGAAGTTGAGTCATTTATTTTAACAGTGAGTAGATCTGATCAAAAGAAATGTTTTTTTCCTTTAACATTTTTCTGGTAAAATTAAAGTAACAAAGTTATAGGCCTTTAGAAGTTTGAGTACCGCCCTGTCTCAATAATAATATTATGTGCTCGTGTTTGGCAACAACGGATATAATCCGCCTTATCCGTTCATCGCACCGGAAACAAAAAAGCGAAAGAATTTGAAACGATGTTTTTACTACAATGTACAATCTTATTCAGTTATATTCAGTCGATGTGTCAGTCGGTAACGCGTGAGTGAATAGTGAATAAAAAATGGCACATGTTTACGAAAATGCTGAATGTAGTACAAAGGGCTCGTGAATCAGGTGACTTAAGACCTCACAGGGGAGGGCATGCCGGTGCTCCAAGACCGCACGATCAAATACAGGTCCGCACTGAAATACTTGTCGGGGGGATACTTTATAAAACAAGGTAACATTTTTTTTTTATTTTTTTTTTATTTTTACACACATATTTTGGTTTATCTTCCTTCTACAATCATTATCTGAAAATTAATGACTCAACTTCAAAGTCACCCTGTAGTTCCTGAAAATTGTTTGGTGGGCAAATTACCCATAAGTAGACACTAAAAATACACAATTTTGGCGACAAACAAAGCCATGTAAGCTTTTAATCTATTCCAGTACGTTGCTTGCCCCCTGCAAAAATTCAGCTTTCTGTTGTCACATTTCAACTTTTCCAAAGTCCCTTGATCGTTGACAACTACTAGTATATTTCTAAACGTATCCTAAGAATCTTGCCTTATTTGGTAAATATTTTCATTCATCCAGGTGCATGGTTTACAACGTTACTAACAAATCAAACATTTGTCGTTCCAATTGTGTTCCTTCTATTTTTAACCACTTTTCCTGCTGATGATGTTTACGAACCCAATTCGCACCTGATTCAGAAATATTTATCACAGTAACATTGCACGTACCGAAATACGTCAATCAGAGTTTGTTAATTTTTTTTACATCAGCAATATGAAGGTATAAGATCGCCGTAAGGTGACATGTAACAATCAAACTTCGAACGCCATTGTAAAGACAGGTATATTGAGAAAATGTTCACTAAAGTGGTTATTGCGGTTATAATTTGTGCTGTGTTTATCAAGAAATGTTTCGCCAAACCACCCACGGATGGAGATAATAGGATCAGTGGGCTACCAAGAGATGAAGAGTTCTCCAAAAGGTCCTTAGACTCTTTAGTCGTTAAGACAAGGTCTCTGGAGTTTGCCGTGCTTGGAAAAATGACTTCAAATAACGAAGCAGCAGATAAAAGGGACTCAAGAGTTCCACCATTCGAAGAGGTACATCGGCCTTCTGAAATGGATGCCAGAAAAGCCTTTAGAGAGAAAAGACTGGCAGAACCTGAAGCGATTGTTCATTATAAAGACAATGACATTTTCAAGAGGTCAATAGACGAGGATATTATTGCAAGGAGGTCAATACCGCTTCCTGCGATGGAAAGGATATCAAAGAGGTCCACTAGAGAGAAAAAACAAAGTGAGTCTGCAGTTAGAGAAAAAAGACTGGCGGAACCTGAGGTCATATTTGATTACGAAGGTATCTTCAAGAGGTCAATAGACGAGGACTTTATTGCAAGGAGATCTGTACAGCTTCCTGCCATGGAGAGGATATCAAGGAGATCTCTTAGAAGGGAAAGACTGACGGAGCCTATGGAAGTGTTGGACCAAGAAGATTCTGGCACTTCTGGAAGATCTGAAGAAGAAGAATTAAGGAAAAGTGAGAGAAAAAAACGCAGCATAAGGTTAGAAACCTATTCTGGTGGAATTGTTGCAGAGCCTTGGATAGGGCGGTTGTAAATAAGATCAAAATGTACAGTTGTGGCTAGTTAGTGTATAGATATTTATTCCATATTTATTGTATTTATTTTTTATACATTTTTAAATATATTGTTTTGTATAATAATTAAGCGTGACTTTTTAAGATTAGTTCATTTTGAAATATACATAGATCACTGTAATTATAGATGAACATGGCATTGCTAGGAAAATCTTAAATACCGTAGAAAAAATATACATACTTATTTGAAAAATTGTCTAGATCAGTAGAAAAAAATGTTAAATTCGTGGTTATCAGTTTATAATATTTTACATTTTGCTTTGAAAATAATGTTTCCAAGATGGCGACCGTTAGCCTCAACACACTGTTAGGGAAGAATCCCGAGGTTCTGGGAAATAGCGCTGCCCCATTTATTATATGAAATTACATCAATCCTATTTGTAGATTTCTGGAGGAACAAGGCTTGAAACATAACTTAATATTGAGCTTATATTTTTTATTGGACTGTGTACTTCTACTCATCTCGAACTGACTACTTCAGTCGGAAATGTCTACACACTTCATACTAAGATAATAATCTGATAAAACGCTAAAAAATGATCATGAACCCAGCTTTCTGTATATAAGCACCACGGACATTTGGTTTATTTGCATTATAAAATGAGAGACCGAGAGTAGTCAAGATAACATTGGTTTTGAGCTTTGGACTAGACTAAAAGGAATAATATTTTTGGAGAGCTGTTAAAACACTGATCGGTAATGTTCATTTACACACTTGTTTTACTGTTAGTGATTGCTGCTCTAAGACAGGTAAGTGTTTTTTTAAGTATTTTCAAGAGGTTTTGGACTATAAAATGAGCTACACCCAAGAATTTTTTAAGTTGTTATAATTGATCTGGAAGACTTGTTTTTAATATCATCTGCAGCACATTTGCAATAGTGTCACATATTTTGACTTTTAAAGCTTTCTCTTTTATAATTCATTGGCGTAGATTAGTCATTTGATATCCCCATAGAAAATAGTCGTGAGACTCTTTATGAGAAGCGATACGATTATGAGATGTTTCCTTCAATAAATCCTTCGAGTCACGTGATGCTTTGACCTTTACTTTGAAAGTAATACGGGATAATTCATTTGCTTCCCAAATCATGTGCACAAATGTTCCATATGATAATCGCAAGACTGGTCCTACAGGTTGTGCCTATGATTTTAACAATATTTTTTGTTTTAATGCACCTTTGAGTTTTATTCCGCAAAAAAATCAGTGACAATGTTGCATATTTTATTATATTGCAGAATGTGTCATGTGAAGCAAATATTCAAAGCCAAAGCTTTAAAATCATAAATGGGAACGAAGCAGCACCACACTCGTTGCCATACCAGGTAAACTAGTAATAGTAATACTCATTTACTACCATCAATATTTTTCCAGAGTGAGTGTTTTTATTTGTTTTCGGTTAAATTAACTGTGGGCACAGGCAGCAATACTAGGAATGGATGGAAAGTTTCTCTGTGGCGGTTCTCTGATATCACCTAGATCTATATTGACAGCTGCACACTGCCTTGACAGGTTAGTAACAACGCAATCAATAAACCACATTTTGTTATATTCAAATGATATGTGAGTTATGGTAAAAGCTGCTAAGACCTATCTAACGAGTACAGATCTACCAAAATAAGACCACTGCGAGAGTGTGTAGCAGATATCGGTTGGAACTGTAAAGATCTCAGATTGCTATATACCCGCAGTGGTCGATACTGCTAATAGATATCGCTTTGCGTTGTCTTATTTCGATATATATATATATATATATATATATATATATATATATATATATATATATATATATATATCGTCAACACAGACATTGACAACCTTCGGCCTTCTGTCAAAGGGTTCATCTCACTCATTATTCCATGACCACCATTTTGTGCAATCATCAAGTGGCTTCACGATGTAATGCTCTAATGTTTTTAAATAATTTTTAATCTGTTTTTAACTTGTTCTTGTCATATTTTATATAATTTTGACCATTGTACCATCTATCCAGCTCTCACCATGTTACTGGACGTTTCCCTCATCCTATACGTAAACAACAATTAGCAACATCCTCATATACTACTGTAAGTTGAGTCAATTTAAATTCATTTTACACTTTTGTTGCTACTGTTATGATTGTAATTGCAGCTCCTGATGATGATGGCAAAGTCCATTGAAAGCTAGAGAGAATTAAAAAAGTATAAAGAGTCCTCTTTGCTTAAATTTTGTCGAAGTACCCAACAAAAGGCGGAAGCTTTAATTTTTCACCTAACTGGTCTAGATGACAATGACCACGTCTCAATATATATATATATATATATGATGCATTGTATAGGGAATAGTTGAGTATTTATTCGATATACATTTCATCGAGGACACCCACTCTCTAAGGGTTGGAATCGATTTTCTAATTATGTGGTTTTTAGCTGCTTTCCCCTTTAGAAGTTCTCTCATGTTGAACTGCCTAAGGCTAGTAGAACCGGGAAAAGCTTCCTCTTGTAGATTGTTACAGAATCACGACACCCTCTGGACAAAGGAGCGGTCGTATCGGTCAGTTCTGGATGTACGAAGTTGAACACCATTAGGATGGGAGGCCAAAGTCAGGCGTGTCTTTCTGGCAGGCACATAGCGCGGCGGCATCATGGAAGAGAGCTCTGAGGAGCAAAGCCCGTTGATGTAGCGGTAGAAGAACGCTAGATCGCCGACGGCCCGCCGGTGCGAAAGGGCCCCGAGACTGTCTGTTAGAGAAGAGTCATCAATTAGTCGGACCGCCCTCCTCTGGACAGCATCGAGCATAAAAAATGTAGTCGGGGCAGCACCCTAAACGTGTGAGCAATACTTGAGGCTAGGCCTTATCTAGGCCTTGTATAGAGTGAGAAGGTCATGCCCTAAACAAATAGACTAGCTTTTTCCCAGCAGCTGCCACTATTGACGAGACGTGTTCTTGCCAGATCAGGTCCTCGATGATCTGGACTCCGATTAGCTGAAATGAATGGCTCTTTGGCAGAACTCGGCCATCCATCGAAACCGGATGAGCGCTAGGACGCTTTTTATTAATCAAAGTACAGTACTGTGTTAAACTGTACAAGATTGTTGCGTCTCCAAGCAGTGATAACCTCCAGGTCTCTCGTCAGAGAGGAAGTCGTCGTTAGCTTTCTTTTTTCCAGCTCAGCGGCAGAGATCGGCTTGTCACTCTGAATTCCTGCGTATAAAGAGCTGTCATCAGCGAAGCTGTGGATTGGGTTGATCATGCAGGAGCAAAGACCGATCCTGGGGAACACCCGCGTTGACGTTGTGGAATATAGAAGAGAACCCGTCAATCACGACAGATATTTTGCGGCCAGAGATTAAGTCAACCACCCATCTGCAAAGCTTTTATGGGAGGCCGTAGAATGGAAGTTTGCTTAAGAGGGCAGCGTGCCACAGCTGACAACGACATGAGCCTCACCATAAGACTGAATGAGTTTACTCCACAATTGCGTGAAGTTACCTCAGAGGTCCCCTGCGTATCGCTGGTGCCAGAAACCATACTGCCTGTCGCTAATCAAGCTGTGACGTTCGAGGTTGTCCAGAAGTTTGCGATTTATGCACCTCTCCATCACCTTATAACAAAAAGCAGAGCTATAGGCCTGTTGTTGTAAGGGTCAGTCTTAGATCCTTTTTTTGGTATGGGTTGGACATGAGCAAATTTCCAGTTTTCTGGGATGGCGCCGGATTCATAAGACTTCTGGAAGAGGCGCAAAAGAACTGGAGCAAGCTCCACTCACACCTCTTCAGTACAATGCCAGGAATCAAGTCAGGACCAGAAGCTTTGTTGATGTCGAGAGATAAGAGCACTCGTCTTATGCCTGAATGTTACCTCCCGTATAGTGAAGGGAATCCTTTGAATTGACGGCACTTGGGCGTTGGGGGGGATGACCATGGTGGAGTTGGCGGCAAATATCTTGGCAAGCACTTCTGCCTTGGCTTTAGAGTCGGATACAATAGTTCCATCGTGACACGTGAATGGTGGAAGGCTACTGTGTGAGAAGTTATTTTCAATCAGCTTGGCCAGTATCCAGAAAGGCCGACTGACATTGCGCTGCGACATTACCCTGTGCCTAACTTTTATGTCGTGCTGGTTTTTGGTATTGCGAACCGCTCGTTGTATTTGATTCTGGACTCGACGTCGGCTTGTCTGTTCTCTACAGTTTGGTTTTGTAAGAAGATTCTGTGTGCCTTGATCTTCTGCTGGCGAGCAGTGTCACACTGTTTGTTAAACCAGCCGTTGGATCCTGGTTTAGGCACTTTCACTGTATGAGGGATGTATTCCTCCATTCCGACGTGGATAATTTCGGTTATGGAAGAACAGACATCTCTCCAAGGAAAGGTAGAGAAGAAGTCTCTGAGCCCCTCCCAGTCGGCATGTCCGTAATGCCAAATTTTGCGGCCTGTGCGAGTTTCTGCTGAAACAGCGGGTTCGGACCGAAACCTAACCTTCATAACACAGTGGTCTGAGTTACCCAGCGGAGACAGGATAGCAGAGCTGTAAGGGGCAGGATGCGTGGTCAGAAAGAGATCCAGCAGGATACTGGCATGTGACGAGCTGTGGGGAAAAAAGTCGGGCTTGTCAGCAGCTGGGTCAGCCATTGAGTAAGAGCGAATGCTTCAACTGCACGACCCGGTGCATCGGTCTTGTTTGAGCCCAACCAAAGCTTATTATGAATATTGAAATCACCGAGGAGAACTACTTCTGAAGCGGGGTAATTGATGTTCAGGAAGTCGATCTTGATGGCGAGGTATTCAAGTAGGTCATCCCAGTTATGGTCCGAGGGACATCGATAAAAGCAGCAAATAAATTTGGGAGATGTTGTAGAGTTGACGCGAAGCCACAGAATAACCCTCCGGTCTGATACCGGAGAAACATCTCTGGAGCAGGAAAGACTACTGCGGACAAAAGCTACAACTCCCCCATTCTTTCTCATATTGGAGTGCACCTCGGAATTTGGGAAGCTAAGATGGTTAATCGGTGCAGATTCTGAGATTTTTGTCTCCGCCAAGAAAAGCATGGCGGGACGATTTTAGATTGCAGGTAGTGATGAACAGCATCAATGTTGCTGTTAATCCCGCAGATGTTGGTAAAACAAATTTTATATTCGATGTTGTTCCCTCGAGTCCACCCTACACCCGGATCTTCCGAGAGTGGGGTGAGTTTACGTCCGGACTTCTTCCATAATCATTAATTTCTTTGTTTAACCGACTGCATAGCTTAGGGTGGAAACAGGCGGACATTTATAAGACACCCTGGGAAAAGCTAGCAGGTGGTACCGCCTCGGTCGACTGGTCCTTGTCTACCACCTTCTTTTTACGTACTAATGATATTAAATAGACCTAAAGTGGCCCGTTGGCGGACTTGTATCGCCACCTGGCAATCAGTACTGAGGTATTCCTTAACGCGTGTACAATCACTTGAACGGGAAGAAGTTGTATACTGGATACAAGAACTTCCAGAACAAGCAGTTTGCCACGGCCCCGCTCACTAGGGGTAAAAGGATAAAGTTACCTAAAATATAGACATGTGGATACAAACATACATATTTACGAGTATTTAGTAACAAAGGAAGTAATTCTTAACTGTACACATTTTGCATTGTTCCTATTTTTGGCAGCAATATCCCTGCAACGTTTGATAAGTAGGACATCAGCTGCTGTAGTATTTTCTTGTTGTTCGACGTAAGTCAACGCCTTTTGTAGAGCTTCTAGTCCCTGAGAATGTGATACTTTGGCAGAGATTTCTGTCTCATTGTCACTAGCTTCACTTAAAGCTGTCTCATCTCCATTGTTACAAACACTTTTTATCAGTTCTGTATCAGTTAATTCTTCCACCAATTCATCACCATCAATCCAATCCCCATCATCTGCTTGGGTAAGATTTTCACACTCTGCTATTTTTACGGCGAGCTCATGTAAATTTACGTTGTTATTCTCATAGTCTGCACAAGGTTCCATTTGTTGCTTAATTGTTGTCGACCAAGATTTTTTAAAGTAAGATTTTTTACTTGGCTCCAGGCTTCTGCTATCCAATATGCCACATTCTTGAAGTTAATCTCTTTTAAACAATCAACGAGGTTACAACCATTATCAACTTGATCTAAAATTTGCTCTGACAACAAACGTCTGTAATTACGTTTGAAATTTTCCAAAACTCCTTGATCCATTGGCTGAATTAGTGACGTTACATTAGGAGGCAAAAACATCACTCGTATTTCTCCACTTTTAAGTTGCTCCTCACTTATAGCAAAATACATTTTCTTGGATATCCGCATTCATTCAAATATCGTTCTGTCTTGGGAACAAAATTATTGTAAAGCCAGTCCTTGAAAGGAGCGGCATCCATCCAGACATTTTTTTCCTATTTATACCAAACTGGAAGAGCGTTGGGACGTAAAAGGAAGTTTGTGTTCAACGGAAGTATTGCTACAAGCAAGTATAGTCGCACGTTCTTTACTGCGTTTATAACCAGGAGCTCCAGATTCTTGTTTTGAAGCTAAACTTTTCGCCGGTAACATTTTATAGTTTAGGCCCGTTTCGCCGCAGTTGTAAATTTGTTCAGGATTTAAACCATACTGCTTCATTGATTCTTTAAAATGTTCTCCAAATTTTAATGCAGCGGACTTATCGGCAGATAACTTTTCTCCGCAAACTTTTAATTCTCGTATAGCGTGTCGTGTTTTCCTTCTATGCAGCCAGCCATCACTGACTGTAAAGTTATCAGGCGCCTCAATAACTGGCAATTCTTCACTTAAGTTGACTGCCTTTTGCTTTAGAATTGGTCCGGAAATTGGTATTCCACGTTCTCCATTCTAAGTAAGCCACAGACAAAGCATCATCCACTTTTTGATATTCCCCTTTTTTCATAGTTTTCCGTGACGGCTGCGATGATGTCAGAACACTAGACCACTTTTTTAAGCAAATCACCTCTATCTAAACGTCTGATTACCTCAAGTTTCTGTTTTATGGTAATAACAACGCGTTTACGTTTATTTCTATGCTGCTCCATCTTAGCGATTATGAATCTGACTGAAACAAAATACACGCACACATACCAGTGAATTCCGCAAACACGCTAGAGGAATCACCGGCAGCGAATCTAATGACGCAAACGCCGGAAGGGGAACTACCGGCGGCTATTTCAGATCATGCGCCGATTTTCCGAACAACTTCCGTGAAAACGGAGAAATTATTGTATGCGAACTGTTTCGAATAAGATGGATTTCGGATAATCGCGATTCCGATAATCAGGTCTCTACTGTATATCCTAACTAGAGTTATAAGAGCATATTATACCTTCTGGACGGACGCCACTGTTCATTCGGGTATCTTTGAGAAACTGCCGTCTGGAATTTGGCTGCTAACTTCACAAAGGTGCTTATGAGTTGCTTAAAAGCTGTTCATGGGTGGCTTTCTGTGGTGTGACGGACGATAACAGCAGCTTTAGTTAGCAACTATGATTGTTCAGCATAAGCGTTAGGAAAATCATTAGCTGATTCCGACTGTTTTCAGGGCTGGTACATCTGTGCAAGTGGTCCTCGGAGCTCACAACATTAGTAACCCAGGAGAAGAAGGCCAGTTGAAAATTACGTCTACGCAATTTGTAATTCATAAAGACTGGAATGCTAAGAAAGCTCTTAATGATATCGCCCTAGTGATTCTACCAAAACCCATTGAAACTACTAATACGATAAAATGGGTATGTAGCCATACAGTGCACGTCAAAACTAGTGCCACACTACTTTAAAAGTATGCAGCTTTGTGTGTTTGTGTATTGATTTGCTTCAACTTTTGTTATGAAGGTGGAGTGTGTTTTTTATGGATTCTAAGTAGAACGTGTTGGGACCTTGCACTCACATAAAAAATGACTTCAAGTAGGTTGAGTCTATACTCCCATGCAACGCCGTCTTCAGTTTATAATGGATTAATGTTCAGCGCAAGTTAGACCCTCACGAACATGTATAACAGAGTAATAGAACGGATCAATTCAGTCAAACAGGCCCATACAATTAGCCTAAAAAATATATTTTTCCCGTCCTGCCGGTAGTAACGTCTATCTGACAACGTCGCCCCTTTCCCATACCTGGCCTCACGATGCGGCAGTACGACACCGAGGCAATAATGGCAGGACACTCATCGAGACCGGAATGCCCGCCGGTGAACTCAGAGAGTAGAAGCAGCGACGCGTATCGAAAACATTTCTCTCATTATGTTTTAATGGCAAAATATGCACAAATCTAATAATGATGTTTGAAATGTCTGTATTAAACATCAAAAAACAAAGTTTGAGCGATTTCTATTTATTTTTCGTTTTTTGACCCGTGGCCTCGCCACCACTGGTTCGATTTTCATAAATAGTATAGGCCTAGTAACCTTGTGTGGAAATTTGATCGAAATCTGAGCGGTATTTATAGTTATAGACGGGTAAAGGATTAGCGGACAGACAGACTGACAGACAGACCGATGGAAATGAGTGACATTGTTTTGCGTGATGTTCATGTCATATACCGATCAAACAACATATCCTTATTTTTCCCGATTACAGAACTTCCTCGATGCTGACGTAGGAACTAAAATACTACATCTGAAAACGGGCGAACTTCAGAAAAAAAAATGCCAAAATTATGGAATTTGGAATGTTAAAAAACAATAAAGCACTAAGCTGATAAAAGTTTAGAATATACATACATATGTTCTAAAATATTTAAAAGCAAATATTTTATAGATTCGATCAATTTGAGTTATGTTCAGGGACGAAAAGCTTTTATCAAAATCCAACCGGTACTTTGTAAGTTACTGGGGAGGCAGGAATTAGCAAACAGACAGATCGACGGAAATCGGTCAGTGTGTTTTCGAGAAATGTAATGCATATGAATTGTCACAGCACATCCTTCTGTGTCACCTTATATAAAATAGGGTAAATTTTTTGAACGCTTAATTCCAAATAGAACGTGGTCATATTGCTACAAGAAACATTTTACCCTACATTGAAATGGCCTCAATAAGCTTGATGCACTTCCCACTCAACGCCATCATTGGTTCATAAAGGATTATTTTTAGCACAAGTTTGACTCTCTTAGAAAAAAGTTAGCTATGAACATGTATAACAGAGAAATTAAAACGATCAAGTCAACAGGCCTATACAATTACTAGTCCATAAACACTTTTTCCCTGCCCTACCAGAAGTACCGTCAACCTGACAACGTCGCCTCTCCACGATACCTGACCGCAAGACGCATTAGACGTGGAACAGCAGCAATATAATGCAAGGACATTGACCGAGACCGTCACGCCCGCCGATGAACCCAGAGAGCAAAAGTAGGACGCCTGTCGAGAGAATTTTTTCATCATTTAAGAATTTAAGTTTCAAGAGCAAATGTAAGGGAAATCTATGATATGTGAAATATGTCTAGTAGATGCTTAGGAATACTGAGGTTGGGAGGGTATAAATATACTAACATCGAAAAATTGAGAGATACCGTTCCCGGCCCTCTGCGACCCCCTACCCCCAAATTTTCCGACTCTAAAACTGTTCTTACAAATTATCATGATCAACTGAAACGTCAAAAAACGAACACTGGGCAGATTTTCATAAGCTGCAGAGCTTTTCTATCGTTGGCATAGTAGTAACGTTATGTAAAACTTTCTTCCATATCCATAGTTTCCCTGTCATAAATGGGTCATGGATTAGCGGACAGCCAGACCGACGGAAATGAGTGACATGGTTTTTCGTGATGTACATGTCATATAAAACGTCCAAAGACATAATATCTCATTTTCGAAAATGTTCGTGATGATAATATTTCCTCGCCAGTAGGCGTGGGAAGTAAAAAGCACCCTATTTGTAGCTTATTTTATATCGTCGCTCAAGCTCTAACACATGCGTAACGCAAAACTAACATCTTTTTGGGAGAGCGAAAAGAACGGTGGATCTTTGGATTCCCTTTGGACTGAAAAGCATATCTTATAATCCTCCATGTTTGTCTGGCCGCTAACTGAAACTACATATGCTTGAAATTCTGTTTACAACGGTTGCCTTTTTCAAATGCATACATACCTTAATTTTTTGAGTTACGCGGTGATAGAACATAAGCGACGATATGCTAAGTGGTTTCTTGGTATCACAGGTGACCCTCCCAACAAAGAAAAATGCCATCTACATTAACAAAAATGGGACCGTAAGTGGCTGGGGAGCATATTCAGACTCTGACGCTACAAATATTTCTCCAGTTTTGAGGGAGGCACGGATCAAAATTATCAGCAACTTTTTCTGCAACATCGCTTACATGGGTAAAATTACAAGCAGCCACTTATGTACCGATGGCCTGAAGAAGCAAACATTCTGTACTGGCGACTCTGGGGGTCCACTTGTTGTCGACGGAGTACAGGTACGTTGATTGATTAACGTATTCTAGATACAGATAGCTATCCATGTATTGCAGTAGCTGTTACCCGCGTCTAACATTTTGAAATCAGCAGGTTATACTAAACCATATCTTACACTGTAAAAAATACCTCTCTGACTAGTCTCTACAGGGTGTTCTAATATTCCATGGACATAGGAGTACCACGTAATCTTTAGACTCAGTTCATTGGACAGTCTTTACCTCTATGCAGAAGTGCCTCGTTTCTCTTTTAAAAACACATTTTTCAGATATTTTTTGTATTTTAAACTCTAAAGGGTTCGAGAAGGATGAAAACTACTCCCATCCGTACAAAAATAACAGCAAATTTTTTTCGCATCGACTCTGAAATTTTATTTAAGAGATACTGTTTATACTGTTTACTTATTTTTTTGTCTCTTATAGAAACAGGCCATCTCACATAGTTTTCGACAAAAAAAGGTTCTTTGGAGCTAGTTTCTACAAAATATTCATTCTTATTACATCAAGCGTTAAAATGTACTAGACATCTAGTTGGTGGAAGTGTGGGATGTTATGTCAGTGTCAGACTATTTTTGCCAACAAGCTTCTTAAAATTTAAATTAATAAATAATGTTTGAGTTTATTTCAGATTGTTAATTTGTTGTTTGTTCTTCATAAATCTTAATTAACATTAGAGATTATTTTTGGTTTAGTTGTTGTTATAAATTACTCGAACGAGAAATTTGATGGCACATGGACTACTAGAGGTCAAGGTCTTATTCTATTACTACCTCGTTCCCCGGATTTTAATCCGTGCGATTTTTTATGGGAAGCATTAAAAACAAAGGTATATGACAACAAGATCTAAAATTGGTTCTAATATTTGACTTTTACGGACAACTCTAAAGGGGTCGAGAAGGGTGAAAACTGCTCCCACGCATACAAAAATTATAGCAAAATCCTTTCGCATCGATTCTGATTTTTTGCATTTAAGAGATCCTTTTGTGTACTTCTTTTTTGTTCCTTATAAAAACAGGCCATCTTGAATAATTTAAGAATAAAAGAATTCGTATTACATCAAGTGCTAAAATCTAGTAGGCATCTAGTTGGCGGAAATGTGGGATGCTATATCAGTGTCAGATTATTTTTGACTAAGTTGTTGTAAGAAATTACTTGAACAAGATGGTACATGTTTTGCAAGACGTTCTACTATTTGATTTTTACGGACGACTCTAAAGGGTTGGAGAAGGATGAAAACTACCCTCACCCCTACAAAAATTATAGAAATTTTTTTTCGCATCGACTCCGAAATTTTATTTAAAAGATACTTTAGTTTACTTAATTTTTTTGTCTCTTATGAAAATAGGCCATCTCACATAGTTTTCGAGAAAAAATATGACAGCTTTAATTCCAAGCACCAAATTTTGTCTCTAGATGATTAGCATGATACCATCCTTATGAATGAATCTTAAAATTAGAGGCCACCATAAGGAGCCAGTGCATAGGCCGCTTAAGCGGGCCCTTATGCACCTCTACAATCCTTAAATCACAAGCCTCGCCCTTTTAGCGAAGTTGAGAATCGCCTTGAGTCCAAGCTCCTTGACGTCCTGAGGGTCCAAAGTAATGGACCCCAGTATAGTCTGCCTATAGTAGCTCAGAGCTTCACAGCGACACAAAACGTGCGCCGAGGTCTCTTCCTCTACTCCGCAGCGTTCGCACAAGGGATACTCAGCCACCCCCATCACGTGCAGGTGACGCCTTAACGTGTTATGGCCAGACAACAGTCCCACCAGCAACCTTAGGTTGGCTCTATCCAGAGATAGGCAGAAGCGTCCATCCTTAGCACTGGGCCCTTCAATGAGTTCTCGTGCCTGGCGGAGATGTCTAAAGATACTTCTCCATTTCTGAGAGTGTTGTCTTGCAACCCACGTCTCCATTTTCCTCCTAGCTTTATGCACGGTCACTCCTAGAGCTGGCTCAGGACCAACAAGCTTGCTGGCTGACCCTGTTTTCGCCAGAGTGTCCGCCGTCTCATTGCCCCTTATCCCAGCGTGCCCCGGTACCCATATTAACGATACCGGATGCCTCGCTGCGAGGCAATCCAGAGCCTCCCTGCAGATGCAATGCAAGACTCGAAGTAATCTTACAGGCACTTAGTGCTTTCATTGCAGCCTGGCTGTCGGATAAGATTGTTATTCTTCTCCTAGGTCCACCCTCCTCCAGAATGTGAGATACACAAGCCAGAATCGCAAAGATTTCCGCCTGGAAAATGGTGGTTTATCCACCGAGAGGCAGAGATAGCCTGGTTCTAGGCCCAGAGACCCCAGTATCTGAGCCCTCTTCGGTGACTGAGCCGTCCGTGTACCAGACCTGCCCGCTCACTTCGGAGAATCCCCGGCTACCGGCGTCCCACTCCTCCCTCGTTGGATACTCCACAATAAACTTGCGGTTGAAACGATATTTAAGGGTAATACGATCACCCCTGCTTAGAAGGACGGGGTCCTCCCTTTCTAATTCGACTAAGATGGCAGTATGCCCCTTGACAGGATTCAAGAAAGCCCAGCTGCCCTGACTCCACAGTCGATGAGCGACTACTCTCGCTTCACCGCGGGTCACCAGATCCAACGGTGGGAGATCCAGCAGAGCTTCCATTGCACTCAATGGCGTTGTTCGCACTGCGCTTGTAATGCTAATACAGGCCAAACGCTGAATTTTATTGAGTTTGGCCTTAGTTGTCACAGTTCTAATGCAGGGCCACCAGACCAGGGAGCCGTACAAGAGAGATGGACGTACTATCGTCGTGTAGAGCCAGTATACCACTTTGGGTTTAAGCCCCTACCTTACCCCGATAACACGTCTACTAGCCCACATCGAATTGCGAGCCTTGCTAACCTTGTATTCCACATGCTCTCTCCAGTTCAGTTTGCAATCCAGGATAATTCCCAGATATTTCACTGACTGGGACAAAACTAATCTAGTCCCAAAGAAGGTCGGCATGACCAGCCCGTCAAGCCTTCTTCTCATAGTGAATAGGATCAGCTCGGTCTTTTCAGCATTAACAGAAAGATCGACTTCCCTACACTACGATTCCACGGAGCGTAGAACGCCCTGCATAATTTCCGAGACTGTTCTACAGAAACGCCCCCTAACTACTATGCTTACGTCATCAGCATAGGCTTGCGCGTAGGCACCCATACTGCTGAGCCTAACGAGGAGTTCGTTCACCACGATACACCACAGTATGGGTGACAGGGAACGAGGTGGCCATTGAATAGGACCTTCTTGACTTCTACCAAAGTAATTTCTTACAACTCAACCAAAAATAATCTCTAACGTTAATTAATCTAAAATTTATGAAGAACATACAACAAATTAAGAATGAAAAATAAACTCAAACATTATTTATTAATTTAAACTTGTTGTCAAAAATAATCTTACACCGACATAACATCACATATTCGCCAACTAGAAGCCTAGTAGATTTTAACAGTTGATGTAGTAAGAATTTTTTGTAGAAACCAGCTTCAAAAAACATGTTTCCTTCTAAAAACTAGATGAGATGGCCTGTTTTTATAAGAGACAAAAAATGTGGTGAACAAAAACATCTTCTAAATAAGAGAGCTCAGAGCCGTTGGGAAAGTTACGAAAATTTTTTGCTATAATTCTTGTAGGGGTGGGGGTAGTTTTCACCCTTCTCGACCCCTTTAGAGTTTTCCGTAAAAGTCAAATATTAGAACGTCTAGCAAAACATGTGTTCCAAATTTTGGATCCTGGCCCATTTAAAAAAAATCGCAAGAATTAAGATCCGAGGAATGAGGTGGCCACTAGCAATCCATGTATCATCAAATTCCTCGTTCAAGTAGTTTATTACAATAATTCAACCAAAAATAATCTCTAACGTTAATTAAGATTTATGAATAACAAACAAAAAATTAACAACCGAAGATAGACTCAAACATTATTTATGAATTTAAACTTTAAGAAGCTGGTTATCAAAAATAATCTGACACTGACATAACATCCCACATTTCCACCAACTAGATGCCTACTAGATTTTAATAGTTAATGTAATAAGAATAATTTTTTTGTTGAAACCAGCTCCAAAAAACATTATTTTTTCTCGAAAACTATGTGAGATGGCCTATTTTCATAAGAGACAAAAAAATTAAGTAAACTAAAGTATCTTTTAAATAAAATTTCGGAGTCGATGTGAAAAAAAATTTCTATAATTTTTGTAGGGTTGGAGAAGGACGAAAACTACTCTCACCCCTACAAAAATTATAGAAATTTTTTTTCGCATCGACTCCGAAATTTTATTTAAAAGATACTTTAGTTTACTTAATTTTTTTGTCTCTTATGAAAATAGGCCATCTCACATAGTTTTCGAGAAAAAATAATGTTTTTTGGAGCTGGTTTCAACAAAAAAATTATTCTTATTACATTAACTATTAAAATCTAGTAGGCATCTAGTTGGTGGAAATGTGGGATGTTATGTCAGTGTCAGATTATTTTTGATAACCAGCTTCTTAAAGTTTAAATTCATAAATAATGTTTGAGTCTATCTTTGGTTGTTAATTTTTTGTTTGTTATTCATAAATCATAATTAACGTTAGAGATTATTTTTGGTTGAATTGTTGTATTAAACTACTTGAACGAGGAATTTGATGGTACATCGAATTGCTAGTGGCCACCTCATTCCCCGGATCTTAATTCTTGCGATTTTTTTTAAATGGGCCAGGATCCAAAATTTGGAACACATGTTTTGCTAGACGTTCTAATATTTGACTTTTACGGAAAACTCTAAAGGGGTCGAGAAGGGTGAAAACTACCCCCACCCCTACAAGAATTATAGCAAAATAATTTCGTAACTTTCCCAACGACTCTGAGCTCTCTTATTTAGAAGATGTTTTTGTTCACCATATTTTTTGTCTCTTATAAAAACAGGCCATCCCACCTAGTTTTTAGAAGGAAAAATGTTTTTTGAAGCTGGTTTCTACAAAAAATTATTACTACATCAACTGTTAAAAACTACTAGGCTTCTAGTTGGCGAATATGTGATGCTATATCGGTGTAAGATTATTTTTGACAACAAGTTTAAATTAATAAATAATGTTTGAGTTTATTTTGATTCTTAATTTGTTGTATGTTCTTCATAAATTTTAATTTTAAAGTTAGAGATTATTTTTGGTTAAGTAGTAAGAAATTACTTTGGTAGAGGTCAAGAAGGTCCTATTCAATGGCCACCTCGTTCCCCGGATCTTAATCCTTGCGATTTTTTTATATGAGGAGCATTAAAAATAAAGGTATACGAGGTTCAGATAGCCAACGCCAATCAACTATGAGACAAGATCCAAAATTGGGAACACATGTTTTACTAGTTCTAATATTTGACTTCTGTGCAGAATTTTTTACCAACTTCCACGACGACTCTGAATTTTTCTTATTCAGCAGATTTTTCATTTACCTCATTTCTTGTCTACTATAAAAACATGCAACTGGTAGTTTTCGATAAAAAAAAATGAGTTCCATCAAGAGGTTCCCAAGATTCCTATTCTTCCTAATAAGTATGATATTATTTATCATAATTTTGTTTAATACAGGCTAAAAAATATGACCTCTATTTTCGTTCTTGCACATAAAAATACTGCGCAAAAAAATAGTTAACTTTCTCTAAGATGTCATTACTCTTTGATGTAGGTATTTGTAGCATACTGGATCCTGTCCCTAGTTGATTGGCGTTATCTATCTGTATATCTTTGTTTTTAATAGTCCCCGTATGAAAAAAACGGACGGATTCCGATCCATTGAATAGGAGCTTCTTGATCTCTACCAATCCATGTACCAACAAATTTCTCCTTCAAGTAATTTCTTACAATAACTTGACCAAAAGTAATCCAAAATGTTAATTAATTTAAAACTTGCGAAGAACAAACAACAAATTAACAATCAAAAATAGACTCGACCATTGCTTATTAATTTAAACTTTAAAAAGCTTGTTGTCACACATTTCCGTCAGCTAGATGCCTACTAGATTTTAACACTAGATGTAATAATATATTTTTTTTAAACCAACTCCAATCAATATTCTTTCCTTCTCGAAAACTACATAAGTGAGGGAAATAAAAGGATATTTTAATTAAAAAAATTCAGTCTTCGGGAGAGCTGCGAAAAAATTCTGCTATTTGGTGCTGCTCTCATTAGCGCATTATCATGTTACTCCCGACAAATTTTTTTTTGAAAAGTTGAAGAGAATGGCGGGGACACTGGGGTTCAACTTGCCACACAGCTCACATAATAATCGAAATTTCGGGCATCGTCTTCGAAAATCAAATAGTCAGTTGAAATTGTGTAGTCAACTGGCATCTTCGAAGCTGCGACTTGAACCCGTTGGACTATAATTGTGGGAAGCCGTTAAGGATGGTATCATGCTAACCATCTAGAGACAAAATTAGGTGCTTAGAATTAAAGCTGTCATACAAGAAATTCAAGTGCAAACAATCGAACTACTTAAAAATTTGTTAGTAGGCAGGGGTCGATATTACGTAAAAAATCAGCTTATTGTCATTGTCATTGGAAGGGTTCAGCTGTTGAAAAGCGATCCAGCGGTTCAGCGGTTTTACGCTGACTAGCAGTAGCTAGGGGATAACGTTGTTAGTTTGACAATGTCAACGTGTGTACTAGCTTTTGTGTACCTGTATCAAATAAGTCCACGTTAACATTTGGATAGCTGTAAGTTCTTAAATATTTGCGAAATGATAATGAATTTTTGAAGGTATTATTATAGGTATGCTCAGTGAATAAGCTGGAGGGCTCCGAGAACTTTTCTTTCCATATAAAAAATATATATTTTTTGAAACACTACCGTTGACTTTATTAGGAACCCAGGTATCCAGATAAGGCAATGATCGGGTTTTTAATAAAGCCACGCGTAAGATATTAAACAAGACTATTGAATAAACGAAGTTATATTTCTAATTAACAACAATAAATCATTCTTAACTCCAGACATATTTCAAGTGAAAAAATCAACTTGTTTTTGCCTACGCATTGATGACAAACAAAAGATACCTTATCGCCTCTACACAAGCTTATATGTATATACATTTCTCATGGACATATCTTAAGCATATTACACACAGGCGCATATGTCATGTATTTCATCCTTATCGCATGAAAAAGTACCAGTTTTCGACTTTATTCTTCTGGGAACCATTTAACATGACCTTATTACGCACATCTAACCTTAAATAACATAAAATTTACAAAATTGAAAACACTCAAAACCTGGCAACAGCAAATGCCTACTTGCATATGCCTTATAGACTTACCTGATTGAATTAACAAGAGATTCCGCAAAAAGAAGCCAACAACATGTAAAAACGGAGACAAATTTAGAGCAGAAATTTTATAAGGCACATGTTGAACATTGACTCTGTCCTACTGCGCCAACTAGCGCCGCTCCACAGCTGCTGAATTTATGGGTGCTAACTGTTCTCAATAAATTTGTAGAGCTGCAGAAATCTGTAATTTTAAATGTTAACAGTTTCTGTACAAATCGATGCATGGCATTATTAGGTGCTTGGCCTTATTTGGTCCAGGTACCTTAGGTCAAGTGTCATGACGTATAGCTGATAAAAGTGAACATGAAATGAATCACACCGTGAATTTTTTTTCGGAAGTACCGACATAACGTGATTAAGAATCTATAGTCACTTTTTAATTTACGTAATACGCTTGCGGATGAGGTATTGTAGGCGCGGAATGAACTAGCGACACATTAGCGGTTACCTAGTGTACTAGTTGATATTTTACAGATTTTTTTTTACATTATATTACTTAATAACCCTGCAGATCAGTGGTGGCAGTTATTTGAATGATATTGTACTTTATATTTATTTTGAAGAAATTGAAAAAATTTTCATTAGTTCCATTTTTATAGTCGATTCTGAATCCAAATTTTTAATGACCCATTTCATTGTTTCAGGTTGGAATTGTGTCCTTCAACTTTGTATTTGGGTGCTCTTCAGGCTGGCCAGGGGTCTACACCAGAGTTACAAGCTTTTTAGACTGGATCAGCGAGCATGTTTACAATTGAATATTTGATAAGTTTTATGTAGTTTTAGTGTAATTTGTTACGGGCATGATAAATCAGCGAAACAGTTAATATAGACGTTTATTATTTACAAAATCGTTGTCTTACCGCCATGTTTTGCTACTCTCTACATAAACTGTTGCACTAAACATTTGAATATACTAATAACCAACCTACGTAGCTAGTCATGCGTGTATATATCCCAGGAAATCCAGCTTCACATCCTAGATCACTACCAAATGAAGCTATCCCTACCTGTAAAAACAGCATAATTACAATTAAATACCAAACCAACAGATTTTAATACATGTTCTTCTTATGTCCTAAACGCCTGTGCATTGATCATATGTATGTTGAATTGCAAAAGATAAAAAAAAAATAGAGAAAAAAATTATTGGTAAGAATGATAGAGCATTTATTGTGTAATATTTGAGATTATTCTATTAATGTGATTTCTCCCAATCGCGTTAATGAATTTTTTGATTTTTTTTTGAAACCTAATGTATTGAGTAATTGTCTTAAATTATTTGGTAAATGTTCGTATAATTTTGGAGCTAAATACGGGTGACATCGTTTCATTAAAGATTTGTTTGGTTCAGGAACATTTTTTGCGCGTAATTTATATCTGGCTTTATGACTATGTTTAATTATGTCGCGTTCACTAATAATTTTATGATAATGAGTGGTGGTATGTAAGAAGTAAAGTTGTTTAGTATCATATACTTGCATCATTATATATGTCATTAGTTGGGTATAATTTTGATTTGCCAAACATTGATTTTAAAATTGTTCTTTGAAGCACACCTAAATCGTTAAGGTATGTCGCGCATGCAGCACCCCATAGTACTATACCATATGTTATGTGCGGCTCGACTAAAGCTTGATATATTATTCGTAGATAATATTCAGTTAATATACCGGTTAGAAATTTTATTTTATATGCTATGAATCTAATTTTCTTTAGTATGTAAAAAATAAGTGGGGATCTAGATAAGTTCCTAAATATTGTATTATCAACTCTATTGATTTTTAGATTTTTATCATTTACCTTAAAGCGAAGGTGGTTATATTTTGGTATATGATTAGATAGTCATGAAAATGTTAAAAAATGAGTTTTAGTAAAGTTAATTGTTAATTTTCGGTCATTAAACCACTGAATAATTTTGCAAAAGTCATTTTGGATAACATCTTTTAAGTCGTTCCAATCCTTTATAGACTATAGCAGTGTCGTCCGCAAAACTGACTATTTTACCAGTACTATTAATTTTAAATATATCGTTTAAATAAATATTGAATGACGGAGGACCCAAAATTGTACCTTGTACCATTTAACAAACATTTCTTTACTATATGAGTTTAATATAAATAATTTTCCATTAAAGTATACATCTTTCGACGAAAACCTATTCTTTCTAAGATTTCCAAAAGTATATTGTGGTTAACCGTATCAAACGCTTTTTGTAAATCCACAAATACGCATATCGATGGAACTTTTCCATCCATATTTTGGGTAATTTCACCTACTATACTTAATACCCCATCTGTTGTAGATTTGCCCGCTATAAAACCATATTGATTTGAATTTAAAATTTTGAATTTATCAAGAAAATTAATCATTTTAAGGAGTAATTTCTCAAAACTAGCTAAACTTGATATAAGTGAAATAGGCCGATAGTTAGTGACATCCGTATTATCATTAGCTTTATAGATAGGTATGATGATTGCTGTCTTGAAACGTAATGGAAATACTCCAGATTGAAAGGACTTGTTAATGATATAAGCAAGTGGTTCTGTTATTTATTTGGTCAGTATATTTAGATGTTCAGCTCTAATTTCGTCAGCTCCAGGGTTTTTTTTTATTTTTTAGAGTCATAATGGCATTGAAAACATCTTGATAGTCTATTTCAGTTAATAAAAATGAATTATTCAGTCTTGTTTCATGCAGATGAACATCAGTATTTTGTTTGATATTATTTGCCAAGTTTTCTCCTATATTCGTGAAAAATTCTATGAACTCGTCACATATTTACTGAATATTATTTGTTTTCTGTCCTGTTTTTGTTTTTATTTTTTTCTCAAAAGTTCTATAAATTTGTTTTTATACTGATCATAATGATCTATATTTTCTTTTGTGGGTAAATATTTCATGATTTTATACAGTCTCTCTTTTTCGTTTGCAGATTTTATTAGACCTTTGGTCATCCAATCATTTCTGCTTTTTTCCTTGTGACTTAATTTAACCTTATTAGTACTAACTTCAATTACTTTTTGAATTTTGCATATCAACAAATTTGTAGCGTCTACGGAATTTGTTAAAAAAATTTCGTCCCAGGATTCCGTTTGTGCGTTAAATATTAATTTTGAGTTATCAATAAAATATTTGTATTTAAGGTTTCTTTCATTTTTTGCCATTGGGCAGTTTAGGTTTTTATTTTGTGAAGATATCGATAATACAGTGGAATAATGATCTGTAATATCGGTTTCATAGATAATAGGCATGTAAGAAAAAATATTGGAGATATCCTTTATAAAGCAGTGATCAATGTAGGTTTTACTGGTGGGTCATGTTACTTTATTTATGTATGATAAAAAACCATTACTTGATAAAATTTTTAAATATTCTTTCACCATAGAACATTCTTCTAAAATGTTTATATTGATGTCGCCTATAAATATTTGATTTTGAAGATGATTGTTTTCATTGTTTTTTAACAGATCATCTATGTCTCTTATAAATGTATGAGGATCTGAAGATGGTGGTCGATAAACACAAGTAATTTTGATTTTACGATTTTCAATTTGTACTGTTAGATTGATAGCTTTTAATTCATTGTTGATTGTAATTCTGGTATGGTTATAAGGAAGATTGTTTCGTACATACACCATCACTCCATCGTATTGATTATGGTTACCAAAATTATACAGTGTATCGTACCCTTCTAAATGAAACAGAGTCACATCGCCCACTTGCCATGTTTCGGATAGAATGATTATATCTATATCACTTTGTATTCTTATCAAAATTAATTTAAAGCAGTCAAAGTTATGTTTTATACATCTGATGTTTATATGATAAATTCTAACAGATATTTCAGGAAAATAATCTAGCTCGCTAGTATCATGAAGCAGTATTAGTACTAACACGTTGAATTTGGAAGTTATTTACGTAGTCGTGTGTCATAAATGATGCAATATTCTAAAATTTTGGAAAAAATGTCTTCTTTTTTCAAAAAAGGTATTTGAAGTTGTACTGCTGTTGATAATATAGAAAAGTTGGACATTTTTTATATATATAAGAATATATGGTAAGAAACCATCATTTCATACCTGAACATTATCCACAACAAGCGGACTTCCAGCATCTCCCAAGCAGAAGTTTTTCTTTGAGGTCCCAGAAGTGCACATTTGGTCTCCGGTCAGGGAGAACAGGTAACCTAGCTCACAGGTGATCAGTGGTACTATAGTCAAGTTGGTGCTACGTAGCACAGGACTGAAGGTAGTCAATGTATCTTTCGTTTTACCCCATCCACCGATAATTCCAGATTTTTCGTTGAAGGAAGTGAAAATGTCGTCTATTTGAGGTAGCTCGATTGTCTGTATGTTTTCTGAAAAAGTTTATCTAACTTCATATTCTCGGTGCAGTGAATGTTGAACTGTAATCCTGATATAAGAATATTTCCAAGTACGGCATGTCATTCGTGAATTGGATACCGCCGTTTTATCAAATAACACAAAGTCCACTGTTTATAGAGTTTTTAGTGCCTTTGTTTCGATTTTTCGCGGAAGCGAGACAATTTTTAGTTCTCCATTATCGAAAAAAGAAAGCTCCGTCAGTTTTGGATAATCGGGGAGGGCTTAATTCGTATAGTTATTTTTTTTTAATTTAGCGCTGTTGCTGTAGTTCGAAGAGAACGGTAAGATTAATTAGAATCATTTCAAGGTATAAGAATATATTAGAAGTTGGTCAATAATTTGAAAAAATACGCGATCATGCCACCTATTTTTCCAAAGGCATAAAATGGTTGACAGTAAAAGGACCATGCGAGCTACTCTTAATTACTTACACCCATAAGCTTTTGGTCTCATTCATTTCCCCGTTCTTGGAAAATAAACTGATATCTAGAAGCAATATTCATACTACAGTATATTCAGATAAGATATAGACCGGACATAAACAAGACCACGTGATCATCGAACGCTGTAACATTCGGCAGGGACGTATTAAGAGTCACGCAGTACATATTTTAGATAGTAGATGCTGCTTTGCGTAACTTTGTAGTAAATTAGCACAATTCGATGTGTATACGATTGGTGATGGATATAGGATCATGTGGGGGTGGGGTAAGAAATATATAATGATGTAAATATACATAAGGGTTTCAAAATTTTCGCTTCGATTTCCAGCTTCGGATACCGCCTGATGTTTGGTGAAATACAGTCGAATATAATCTCAAAATGGCGTTTAAATTAGCCTAAATTACAAATAATCGTATATCTCTTAAAATTGCTTTTAGAATATTGATTAGTATATTTTTTGATTTCTAGGTAAATATGTAACCAAATTAAAACGTTCAAAACGTAAAAAAATGTGCATGGTTGAACATTGTCAGAAAGTAGATTCTTGAATAGGTTTTGCCAAAATGGGTTCAAAAATGTCAATAATTAATTAAAAAATACAGTAGCTTTATAATTACTTATAACTTACCGAATTTGATGAACGACATCTTTTATTGGAAAGATGAGCTTGATGAGCTTTCATCATCGCTACTGCCTGAAGCACCAACGTCAATAATGAATGGCTCGACTTCTTCCTCTAAAATATTGTCCAGTTCCCACATTCTCTTTTCAACTTTGTCTTTCACGTGCTTAATACAGTTTTCCCATTTTTGCGCTGTTATTAATTCTAGTGCTTCTTTGAAAAGTCCTTTATGGTCACAAAATTTAAAAGTTGTATTGTGCTTAGCTATATAATTTTTAACCTCTGCCCATATGAGCTCAATGGGATTGAGCTCGCAATGGTATGGAGGTAAACGGAGCACAGTTTTATTTTGACTTGCTGCCATTTCGTCAATGGCGTATTTTTGATATTCCGGCTTGTGATCCTTGACAATTCTTAATAATTGTACTATCAGCATTGCTTCTTCAAAGTTGATATTTTTCGAGCGGAGCCAATTTTGAACATCAACTTTCCTTAAAGCCGTTGTTGGGACCTTCTCCATTCTTCGAGAATGATAAGGCGCATTATCCAACACAATTACTGCGTTTTCCTCTAAGTTCGGTAAAATTTTTGAAAACCACTGTTCAAACGATTCGCCATTCATTTCCTCGTGGTGGACTCAAAGCACCACAGACCGACAACAACAAATCCATCCTCACTGCCAATATGGCAGATAATGAGCCTTTTCTCTTTACCTGGAAATCGATGTACTAACTGGTGTAGATTTATTTCAATAAGCGAACCTTTTTCAAATGTTTTCATCACATTCAGCGAAAAAACATTGAGACATGAGTATCAGATTGCTATAATTGGGATTATTTAGTCATATTGAAAGAAAGAATATTGAACGTCGTATGATTACTCAGCGCTTCACAATTTAATTTAAAGTTATAAACCTTTAAAAAATGAATGATCAGGAACCTGAAATACGCGCAAATATTAATATTAACAAATTATAACTTTATAAAGCTTAAAGTATGAATTAAAATGATTAGAAATATTAGGAACGGTACACAATATAAAACTTAGTAACTTTTTTTAAGTTTATAATATTCGACATATTTTAAGATTATATTAAAAAATTATTGAAATATCGAAAACACATAAAAACATGGCTTAAAAAAGTTCTAACAAATGAAAATGACAATAAAACATCCACGCATTTTATCGAAAGTTATAAAAGTTTAGTTACTTGAAATATGTTTTATCTGCCCCCTGGAATTAATGTTTAAAACCTTGTTCCCAAGGTTTGAAAAACATCCGATTGTTGTCTATTACTCGTATTTACCTGCTGGATTTTTTAATCCGGTGTGGACAGTCCATCTAGAAAGGCCCTCCTGGATGAAGTTACAGAATCATCAACCCATACTTTACTTGTAGTGTGTCCTGCGTTTACCCACGTTTCATCAAGGTAATAAATCTTCCTGTTTTGATTTCTATATTTCCCAATTTTTGTTAAATAATCCCTCCTCCATAGCACAATTTCTTCTCTATCCAGTAGTAAACTATTACGACCCCGTTTTTTCCATTTGAAATTTAAATGCTTCAGTAACGCATGGAAAGTTGATCGTTTGAAATTTGGCAACGTTGTATCTCCATTTACCTCCTGCAGTACTTTATCTATAGTAGGTATTTCATTCCTAAAGAAGAATTCATGCACTTTCCTCCTAATCGCATGCTTATCAGCTTCATCCAATGATTTAACAATACTTTTGCGATGTTTACTGGTCATAGACTCAGAAAAGGTGTGATTTTTTTTGTATTGTCTTAACACATTAAACACTGATGCGTGACACACCCCAACTTTGTGAGAAACCTTCACAACAATTTCTTTGATGGTTGATGCCTCGTTCTCCTCGCGCTCGATCTTATATATATTCAAAATGACCTCTTTCATTTCTGCACTCAGGTGTCTTTTTTTAGAGCGTTTCCTAGGTGGACTACAGGAGTTTACAACTTCATCGGCAGTATCTGTACTACTGGGCATTTTGCGCAAGCAGTTGATAACAATAACAATCAATAACAAGGTATAACAATAACAACGACAAACTCAACAACTTAATAAGATAACAAACGAAAACGTCCAAAGAAATATCAAATTGCAATGATGCACACGACATACGTAACACGTCTGAACCTGAATGTGACTCTGCCTTGATACGACTCTCTGCCGCTCGGCATAGGCATTTAATTGCGAATTGACCAATGAGGGCTCCTGTTTTACGTCGAGACGGCGGCGTTAGCGGGAAAATCACCCGAACCTTTTGTTTACATCCGGTCTATCTCTTATCTGAATATACATTCACGGAAACATAGTGCCCCTTTACAGGACATTATTCTTTTCGTAAATGCTTCACCTACAACGTTATTTTTCACAATTATACACCTCGAGCCACAAAACAACTTGCATATCATCAGTCGCTAAAATTTATCTGTCACCTCAGATAAATATTAGAATATAACATAACACAAACTCTTGTTTGTGTAACTGTTACAATGTATACTTTTACAACCTGAAACATTGAGTATCCTTCGTTCCCTTATGTTTTATATAAAACATATTTTTATATACCTACCTTTTTAACTTTGTTTTTATGTTTGTTGTATTCTGTTTCAGTTTTTTTTGGGTTAAGTGACAGAGTAGCATTATGCTAAACTTCGCCCCCTAATAAAGACGATTTATTATTATTATCAATATAATAGAAGTACGAGTTTCAGATCACATATAAAAATAAAGCAGAAAATAGGCAGTGCTGTGTCCTGATTTTCGTCATACCATATATGCAATGTAGTAAGGTAGACTTTTATTGTAGTTCTGCTGGTTTTGTGATCACCTGTCGTTCTATCATCCTAAGCTTATTCATGTCTAGTCCGGCTTGGACACAAATATTACTGAAACTCTTTCATGATAAAAATTAACATGATTTTGAAATTTTGGGGTTAGCTTTACATCAAAATCGAAGAAAATAAGCAACCTGTCATGACTATCAGTAGTCAGTACTGTCAAATCACCACGGTTCACTTTAATGGTCAACTCTTGTTCTGCCGACCATCTTTATTTGCTATCGCAGCCAAAAACGTAACAGAGCAGGCTTAACAATTCGTTATTTTGTTGCACTAAACACTCTCTCATGTCTCTTGTACCTTTTGACCACTAGGAATGTTATATTAAATAAGTTTCATTTTTGAAACTGTCCTCTAATATAGTTTTTCGTTGAAAAATCGACATTTTGCATTTTTTTCTACACACCTAGATACGCAAAAGTGTAAGAGACTCAAATTCATGGCAGACCAGTAATTTACTTGATAACTTTCCAAGACACCCAATTTGAAGATCATAGTACCCTCTGGAAAGAGTGACTCAACTACCTAACATCTACCGAGCACTAGTCATTGACCAACCTTCGTTGAAATCAGCCCAGTAATTTCGAGATATTTGGTAAAAATAGTTTCCGGAAATATTTTTAACACTATATTTTGAAAACGTCACGTTTTTCAGACATATATCTTCATAATCCTCTATCTTTGTCTGGCTGCTAAGTGAAACTATACTAAGTGACATACTTTGAAGTTGAGTCATTAATTTTCAGATAATGATTGTAGAAGGAAGATAAACCAAAATATGTGTGTAAAAATAAAAAAAATAAAAAAAAAAATTTTACCTTGTTTTATAAAGTATCCTCCCGACAAGTATTTCAGTGCGGACCTGTATTTGCTCGTGAGGTCCCCTGTGAGGTCTTAAGTCACCTGATTCACAAGCCCGTTGTACTACATTAACAAAGGCACGAGGGGTTGGTTGCACTCGATTGGGAAACCGATCCGCATAAACATGTGCCATTTTTTATTTCGTTTGAGCCACGCAACAGACACTATTCACACGCATTACCGACTGACACTAACTGTATGTATAATTGAAGCGAATAAAATAATTGTAAAAACATCGTTCCAAATTATTTCGCTTTTTTGTTCCCGATGCGATGAACCGATAAGGCGGATTATATCCGTTGTTGCCAAACACGAGCACATGATATTATTATTGAGACAGGGCCGTACTCAAACTTCCAAAGGGCTATAACTTTGTTACTTTAATTTTACCAGAAAAATGTTAAAGAAAAAAAACATTTCTTTTGATCAGATCTACTCACTGTTAAAATAAATGACTCAACTTCGAAGTCACCCTGTATAAATCCGAACACCCAGTTTAAATGGTTTTATTTTAATAAAAGTTGGTGAATGTATTTATCTTGCTGTAAATAACAAGTGAAAAAATTTTCAGCCTTATCAGTTGAAAATTCCGGTTTTTATACTGCTTTTTTTTAATTCACTAACGCTCTAAAAATGAATATTTCAGCCGCAGTAAAGAATCAACGTTGGCGGATTTTGGTTCTTGACATCCTTTACGATCGGTTACGATGCCTAGAGTACGGAGACCTGTACGATTTCGTCAACTTAGTGAGTTTGATAGGGGCGGTATAGTGGGACTTCGGGAAGCTGGACCTTCTTTTCGGGCAATTGCAGTTAGAGTGCAAAGAAGTGTAGACACTGTGGTTAGGTGTTGTCAGGCATGGCTTCGAGAAGGCCGTCCGCAAAGAGCAAGGGGCACTGGACGCCGCCGTAGATCAACAGACCGTGAATATCGCCGCCTAAGGTTATTGGCCTTAAGGAACCGTTTCTCCACTACCAGGTCCATTACAAATGAATGGTTTGCAGAACACGGAAGACCTATTGGCATGCGAAGTGTTTATCGACGAATGAGAAGTTTTGGCTTGTTTTCATACCGGCCACACTGGGTCCTCCCTTTAACTCGAGAACACCGACGTAATCGCCTTGAGTGGTGCAGACAACGGTCACTCTGGGATCAGGAATGGAACAGTATTGTCTTTAGTGACGAGTCTCGATTTTGTTTAGGGATGCACGATGGTCGTGCCAGGGTTAGAAGGCGACGTGGTGAAAGGAGGAATCCACAGTTTTTTGTTGAAAGATATGTTCATCACACTGTTGGAGTTATGGTCTGGGGTGCTATAGCTTATGGCTCCAGGTCACCTTTAGTCTTCATCAGAGGTAACATGAACGCGCAGCGTTATATCTACGAAGTTCTAGAACCCCATCTTTTACCCTATCTTGACACCCTGGCAGATCCAACTTTCCAACAAGATAATGCCCGACCACATGTTGCAAGAGTCACAATAGACTTCTTTCAACATAATGATGTCACATTGTTACCATGGCCACCAAGATCTCCCGACTTATCCCAAATTGAGCACGTGTGGGATATGATGGGTAGGAGATTGCTCAATTTGCAACGTCCTCCTCAGACTCTAGAAGCACTTCGAGAGGAGTTGGTGGTTGCCTGGAATGAGATACCACAGGAGGACCACCTGATCAGAAGCATGCCTAGGTGCGTTGGAGAATGCGTAGCACATCAGGGTGCATCCACACATTATTAAAGGTCAAAGGGCTTTGAAGCAGTGCAATCATTTTGAATTTTTTATCATTTACTTATTATGCTTCATTAAGTACTTATACAAAATTTTATTAAAATAAAACCATTTAAACTGGGTGTTCGGATTTATATGTCGCTTAGTATATATTATGTTTGAAACAGTGTTTACTGTACTGATGACGACGTTTTGGCATCTTTTAAGAACAATTTGATAATTCTGGCAGCGAATAGTATTACAAACATATGTGGTGAAACATGGAGGATTGTTAGCATGAAAACCACAGGATAAGTTTCTGGTGTTACTATAATGTACTATATATATATGTATATATATATATATTCATTTGTAGTTATTAGATAATGTCAATGACAAATATTCTATACACCGAAAAAGGAGATAAAGACATTCTGAACTTCAAACAAAATCCATACTAGTAATATTTGGCCTGTTCGCAGGTGATATGCTTTGTTCAAATGTAATACTTATATTCTGTGTTCTCCAAATAGCTGCTCTATTATGAGCCCGGTATCGGACAGAAAGAAGACAGATACACCTAAAAATCAATATCCTCCACAGTATAAATGCCAAGGGGAACAATTAATTTGCGTTCTTCACTTTAATAAATATTGTTACGATCTGAAGAAACCTATCCAGTAGCATATCATTTATTAATATATGTCTTGGTACTAGAATGCTCATTCTTCTCTTTAGGGAAATCTCAAATTCGTAGTGTCACATCTTCTCGCAATGCATACCTAATCCGTACTGACGATTGCGCCAAAGCATGAAACATCATTGTATACAATTGTCCGTGCTTACAGAGACGGAAAGCAAGCAAATTCCCTTCAAATTTCAGTTTGTTACGGCCTGGCCACAGAACATCCACCAAAGCGAATATTTGCGCGATGCGAACTTCGAAGCGTCCAGCGACTGAAATAAACACATAAAAATGTGCTTCTTAAGCCACGCGAAATGTCCGATACCGAGCGAACCGCGCAGGCGACTGGCGGTGCGGCGGGTGACTGAAACAAACGCATGAATCAGTATGGGGCGCGGGTATCACGTATCTTGAAAAGTGACATTATGCCAATTTTTTTGACATTATGCTGGGTTTTTTTGACATTTATGTAGCTTATTTTACAAGATGTTAACTTAGCACTTAGTTGTACGTGTTGCCTAAACGTCATGAGGCTTGTTATCAACCTTTGGCTCTGATGTGATGTAAAATCTGCTTCTAAGATGGCATTACTGGAGGTCTAAGCTGTAAGTTGTATGTGTTGATGATAATTACATTGGGTTCTTGTCTCAAATATACTTAATTGAGATTCAAAGCTAGAAATTAGTTGCGCATCCATTTTTTCTTATCCATTCTGAAAATTAAATGTACAAATTTGCTGAATTCCAAAAATGAGAGAGGTAAGAAATAATTATATTCACTGTACACTGTCGAATTACAAGCCATATATGTATGTACGTGCTAACAGTAATTACATACAACGCGGGCGCGGTGATGATTTCCCGTAATTCTCCTCAGTTTTTCGTTATTTATAACTTTGAACAGAACCTCTCTTCAGAAAGCACAACATATAAATAATCCGTCATGTTCGGCATATTCAGTAATGATTTTCTCGCACAGCAAATGTCACTGATTTTATACACATGCAGACCAATACACATAATCATACACATGCGATCTTGCTATTCAACCAACTTTCTTCTCAAAGATAAATCTACAGACCCGGATCACTCAGCCTCACAAAACTATGCAACCAATAATGCATAGTTTAGTTGAGTGATTCCCCCATAGATGGACGTTCATAACGATCCTAGTGAGCAAAACTACCTAGGCTGCAAGTTGACATCTTATAGGTTTTTTTTGACGTTTTATAGGTTTTTTACATGATACCCGTGCGGCGCAAGCCACGAGTCAAGCGGCAGTCATGGCGAATAATGCAGTCATCAAACGAGTTAAGCTTTTTCGCCGCGAAAAATTAACACCGAGGCTTGCATTACTGAAATACTTGTTAGGCCAGCTATTTGGAAGTCTGGCCACCCACAGTACACAAATAAATAGCATAATTATTGTTAACTATTTTAATTTCCTGAAATATTAATATACAGGGTGACATTTAATTAGCTAAGCATACTTTGGCCAATGCTAGTTACGAAAAAATCCATTTATATTGATAGGTACTCCCATTCCCCAAAATATGCTAAGCTAATTAAATGTCATCCTTCATATAGATAGCTACATAATTTAATGTCAAAAACAATTTTTCAGCGGCACTCAAAATTCTATCTGTCTTGACTTTGTCCAATTTTGGTTGAATGTTAATTAGAATATTATCGAAGGTTTTGAAACTCATTCTGGTGTACTCAAAACATTTTTCTGGATACATTCTGTATTTCTCGTACTTTTTGTGGAATTCTCCATCTCTACCCCGATTCCGATACAAATCATGTAATGTATTCCAAATATTATGTCTTGAACCAGAAGAATATTACTTTCTAAGCAATATGGAGATAATGTTGATAAAGACATTTCTCTCTCGGCCTATGCTGGCCGCGGCGGCGAACGTGACTGTCGGTGGCCGGCAAATTGTGCCGGGCGGATGGTCGCTCCGCTTCCCGCATCGTCGTTCGCACCGCGCCGCCCATCTCCGTGGTCAAACCGTTAAAGGAATAGTTTGAATTAAAACACTTGAGGATATATTTTTATACTTACCGTTAAGCTTAACTGGCGTCTCCAGTTGGACTAGTGCGATGTCATGAAGTTTTTTCTCATGTCGGTATTTTGGGTGGATGATGAATTTTGAGGACGTCAGACGTACCTGAGATGGTTCATTTTTGTTTATGTTATGCGCTCCTAGAACAATAGTTACTTCTTTTGCCCTAGAAAAATATTCCATATTTTTATTCATACTGAATTTGTAAAATAAATACAATTCGAAATTTTGTGAATTGGTTTTGTGACGACATATAAAGTCAAAACACAAAAAGGTAAATAAGTAAATATAGCCTTTCTGATAACCCTCCGATATTTTTTGTTTTCTCATTGAATTCATACCAGTGGTAGTAATTGAACATTTCCAAACTGTCTACACTATTAATTTGAGGTAACTGAAAATTACATACCCATATACACATCTAGCTGACGTCAGTACTAGAGTAGTTCTTATCAAAGATCCTCCACAAAGAATTGGCCTATCGTCAATTGTTGCTGTTATTGCCGCCTGAAAAAATACATGTTTCAGTATCACGTTTTGGAAGCTTATATTGTGAATTGAAATTGTTTGCTAAACCTACCTAACATAGAAATCAAACCTAGACCATTAAGCAAGAAATAGCTGTACACGGTTGACCCTCTGTTAGTCCGACAAACGAAAGCATTATTATTAGTTTATCCTGCCCGGATCTTTCTATATCGCTCATAATCAATATACCGATGATTTTATTTTATAGCTATTTTAATATTTGATAGCTATAGTCCCTTCCCTGAAACAAAGCAGCTACGTCATATTTAGTAAATTTGAATGCCAACCTTAATGCAAAATAGATCCTAAATTGGTACGTATAGTTTGAATTTCCCGGGTACATTTATGTTGGTAACAGTTTTATGTGTTGTGACATTGTCGCAAAGCTTGTCAGGTAGTTACGGGGTCTGCCACTGTCACTAGCTCTAGTATTTCAAAACATACGCTCCGTAATGTTGGTTGCGGTAAGACATCGAAGACATAAAGTAGATTTTGTAAAACGTCCTAGGATCTGGTACTTTTAATTAATGTGGCAACCCTGTGCATCACTGTCATGATTTGACGTTGTGACGAAACTGCTATGATTCGGTGAATAAACTATATATTATTACGTTTTACTTTCCACACCTACTGTCGGGGAAGTGTTGTAATCGCAAAAATTTTCGAAACTGATATTTTATATCATACATTACAAAAAACCATGTCACTCATTCCCGTCAGTTTTTCTGTCTGTCGGCCTGTCCGCTAATCTTCTATAACTTGAGAAGTACGGCTCAGATTTCGATGATTTTTTTATACAATGTTACTATCATGTCAGCGAATCAAAAGCTATTTTTTGAAAATCGGTCCAGTGGTGGTGAAGAAAACGGCCAGAAACGAAAAAAAATCGCGCAAACTTTGTTTTTTGACGTTTCAGACGATCCTGACCATTTTACCAGAAACATTTTCGTAGGGCTTAAAAATTAAGACTCATAGGTTTCAGAAGGGGCAAACTAGCCGATACGACGGCACCTTTGTCTTTGTGGCGTCGAGATTGTGGTACAATCTACAAGAGAAGGCTTTTCTCAGTTCTGCTAACCTTAGGCAGTTCAAAAACCGGATTTAAGCTTCTGCCGGCGCGGCTGCTTTGGTGAAAAAGGGGTATACGAGGTGTGCTCAAAAAGCATCGAACCTTAAATGTTCCCGCGTAAACCAATGAAGCGCGGGAGACTTCCTCTGATGGAGATGTGGAGGGGACATTCATGCGTAGCCCGGAATATTTTCCCGCTCGCAGACAGTGTTGCCAGACATGGCTACTTGTAGCCAATTTGGCACCTTCAGTGGAGTTACTGAATGCCAAAAGACTAATTTGTCTACTTCTAATAATAAGTTGAAACGACTTACATTTAGGTTGTCTACATGTAACCCTCCCATGTACCTCCCCCCTCACCAGTGTAAGGTACAAGATAACGATGTAGATATAGGAGAAACGACACTGGGTGAAGTTTGATCAGATGACGAGTCGCGCCTCTGTTGGTTAATCAGTTCCCCCACATCTATTTGTCAACAATCTGCCGTTTTCTCACTTCTTAATATGTGTTGTCAGTGGCGGATTTGCAGTCTTGGCCGCCCTAGGCCCGAGGCCATGTAGCCGCCCGTTTCTCAGTATTCATTAAATAAACTAGATAATTTGATCGATATTGATTCAGAAATTTAATTAAGTATGATAGATGCTAATTTGTAATAACTTCCAAGGTTTCAACGATAAATACAGATTTAAATAAAACAGTTAAAACGGCTTTATTTATTTAACTAGTTTAACTACAGGTTCATTCTCATACAATAAAAATAAGTGTTTTACAATGTTACAAAACTCGACTAGACTTAGGCGGAGCAAAATCATTAACTAGGTCTTCACAGTCCAACTTTCTTAAAAAATCTGCTTTTTTGTTAAGCAAGGCAAGATCGTTCAGCCGTTGTTCCGTCATTGTGGTGCGTGAATAATTTTTAACTCGATGCACAACAATCGATCGTCCTGAGTAAAACCCAACTAGCAAAGTAGTGCTATAAGCTTTTGGTAAAAGAACTGTTTAGCCGTAAAAGCTCTCTATGTTGTTGCCTGAGCACCAAAATGCTGGCTTAATGTTGTGTGGAATGAAATTTGCTTTCTGCAGCATTTTTGCTCTAAAATGAGGTGATTAAAATATTCTTATAGCATAGTTATACAACACCTTATAGAACAAATTTCTTCCAACGGAAGCATTTATACAACAATCGTTTAGTAACTGTTAAAGGCTGTACATCTGCAACAATATTACAACTTTTGTAGTACAAAATTTCTGTGCTCGGCAGACATTTGTTGCTAAATATGCTGGTATACAACTTCAAAATAACCTAACTTTCTGCTGTCATATTTTTACTTAAAATGCCATAACCAATATTTTAAGACATGCTTATTGTTTTAAAAGGTTTTATCAGCTTCTGGGTAAATCATTGGACTCTGTCCGTATTTAATTTTAGAGATTTGTCAAATTGTTGTATAACACTTGCAGAAAACACCAGAATATTCTAATAAACCAAAGGCAACATGGACGATGTCATGATTATACATAACCACCCGCCATATTGGGAAAAAATATATTACCCTATTGAAAATTAATTAACTATGTTTCAGTTCGACATTACAGATATAAAGTAATAAACAGATATCTGATTTGTGGAAGATTTAACGGAGATAAGTTCAGTTTTTCATCTTAAAAATCTAAACATACTTTTGATCATTATTAAAATATGAATCAAATACGAAGCCCGTACGAATTGCGTAACTACTTTGCACGATACTCACAATAAAATTTGCTGCGCAAGTAATTCAATAGCCCTACATCACCGTCTAGAAGTATATCATATACCTGTGTATGAAATTCACAATGGCCGATATTTAAGTAAACAAGATGACTGTGATATGTTAGTTATCGCCTATACAATACCTCTACATAAGAAATAGTTGTATAGTTGACAAAAACTGAATCTTGCACCGACGCGGCTGCAAGAGGCTTACACTTTTGTTACAACCTCCTAAATGACTGAAGTGTCCTATTAGGTGTGCCCATTGCTTGTATAGCTGTTCTAAGAGCGTTTTGCCAATGCTGTGTGAGGAAGACTGTATAGTCCTTGCAACTCTAATAGAAGTGATAATTGTTAGTTGGGAAGTTACTGGCGGGAGTACACACTCACACATTTTGAAGAGCAATAGCCACGTTTGGGTAAATGGTTTGAAGACCTTCGGTTCGTAACCATTTCAAAAAACTGATAGCACTTTTTCGATCCTATTTTTTTACAATTCAGTGAGCATGAAAATGTAGACATTCTTCTGATAAGTTGTCTTCCAAGTCAGTAGAATAAACCATTTGCAATGCTTTGGCCTTTTCTTCGACTTAGTTTCGTCATGTTAGTAATAAAATTAAATGTATTGTAAAGTAGTTTATAAGCATCACGTCGTTTTTGAGCTCTTCTGACAATGTATCAATTATTACCAAAAAAGTGGTGATTCTGAAATTTTCGCGACAGTCCTTTTGTTGCATCTCTTCAACTGTATTAGTGTCGCTAGGACTTACGCTTGCGATTCAGTCCAACATCTCTTTCATATTCCCGTACAAATGTTTTTTGGCTTTGTTCTGGAAATCATCGAAGTTATCCCGTATTTTGCCAATAAAATGTATCAGTACCTCATACAGTTCTACGACAATGGCAATGCCAATTTCCATACTCTGAAGTTTTGTACTTGTGGCACTAATACGACATAGTAAACATCCCCAAAATACTGTCATGATGGCCGTTTCAAAACGTTCCAGTTTCCGACGAATACCTGTTGCTTCGCATATAATGGCCCTCTTCTGTTGTGTCATTTAGTAAGATTATTTTGCCATAATGTGCGTGATTGTTTAGAATACATAGGTACTCACTTACTTCTTGATATCATCAGAATATTTTGGTTACGATTGGCTGCCCCTAATATCCTAATCCGCCACTGTGTGTTGTAAGGGATTAAAGCCTACACCACAAATGTGCAAAGATCTCAAAAGTGACATGTACCTATAAAAGCTTGCAGGGCTTGCAGCTTGAGTCTGAGGAGGCTCAGAGCGATTTCCATATTAGGAAGTTGTTCAATGTCAACAAAGCCAGGCTCTACTAATTCCTGGCCGCATTTCACATCTGAGCAGCCGCAATAAAACAGGAATAAGACTTGGGATTAATGAAGCTAGTGCCTGCCACTATTACAGGACTTTTTATAGTAGTTTTTGCAGATAAAAGAAATTATATACGGAAAATAGTTTCCTCTGCCGTTTCCTGGCGATTATTTTGTTCTATTCGTTGATTTTGAGTTTAACCTGTGAAAAACATGGACCCTTTGGCAGTAAAATAGAAACAAAAAAGTCTGATATTTACACTTTTAAACAAGATAATAGTTTATTTTATCCCAATATTTTTAGGTTAGAAATTGTGTCATCCGGGCACGGAAATGCACCCAACACCAATAACCACCCAATAATTCTAATTCTGAAACAATCAGTCTCTACTTGTCATTATTAGTAACGTCAGTATTAACAGTGCATGGCAGTATTTCAATAACTCCCTATCAATCATCGATATTCTATATTCCATGGGCTAAGTGTCAGTAGTCAACTGTCAAAGGATTGGCTACAATTTGTCTGCTTTGTCTGTTAAGTTGGCTACAATCTGGCTACTTTTTTCCTCAGGCTGGCTACACTCTTAAGGAAATATCAGCTGCAGTCGGCCTACGTGTGAAGACGTGTAGAGAGCAGTCGTCGGATTTCAGTTTTCGTAAAATGGTAGAAAAACCTGATATTGCATCAATTTTTGCTACAATCTTGGCGATACCCAAGCGGAAACCATTCGCAAGATTCAAACAGCTTTCGGGGACGATGCCATCAGCACCTCACGGATAAAGGAGTGGTACAACCCGTGGTGTGGTGCATCATGAGTACGCACCACAAGGCCAAACTATCACAAAGGACCGGATCTGTGGGTAGCAAAATCTTGGCAGATCCATTACGACAACGCACCCGTTCATTCCTCGCATTTAATTCAGACTTTCTTTGCCAAACGTAACATTCCTGTGGTTCGTGAAGCTCCATAGTTATCCGATATGGATCCGTGTGACTTTTGGTTATTTCCTAAGCTGAAAATGCCGCTGAAAGGAACCCGATTTGAGTCAAAGGAAGATATCACGCGGAATGCGACAGAGCGGCTTAATACCGTTTCAAAAACTGCGTTCCAGGAGTGTTTCCAAAAATGGCAGAAGCGCTAGGAGAAGTGTGTGCATCAATAAGGAGACTACTTTGAAGGGGATTAAAGTTTCGGACCTCCAAATCAATAAATACAAGGTGTAAAGTTAGTAGTGGATCAACGGAAATCAGGTGATAGAGGGCCTCAAAACATATCGAATGAACCCCTATATGTGTGGTCCGAAATTTTATAGTTCAGGAGATATTTGTAGTTTTGTGAAATTGCGAAAAAACGGGATAATGAACATTCAATCGCAATTACAACTAAGCCATTAGTTGGCTGTGTTAATTTTCTGAGATGAGCTAAACGGTTAGTTTTAGCAATGGTTATGTCACTTTTTAACAGAGCTTATGAGAAATTAACGCAAAAAATCTTAAATTCATTTTTTTTGTGAAAAATCTCTTCCATCCCTCAACTTTGGAGGGCGTTATAAAATTGAGGTTGTATTTCATTATTCATTTTAATGTAAAAACTATTTCAATCCATGTAGAATAAACCCTGAAAATTTCAGCTTCCGACGATAAATGTCTCACCTTAAAAAATCTGTATGTTTGACGCAGGTGGGTATCTATATTTAAACGAGAAATTCTATTTTATGAGCTACAGTCCAAACGACTTGATGGATTTTGACATATGAGGTACTTTTAGATTCGTCCTAGCAGTGCGAGTGATACTGTGTGTATTAACATTTTGTAAAATCAAAATGGCGGATTTTTTGCGCAAGTAGATAAATCAGCTTAATGAGCTTGGGCACTCATTTCGGCATTCCAGGTGCGAGAGCATTCAATCTTCGGTCCGACTGAAATTACTAAGTCAGGCAACAGTCCATCACGGAATTTATATCTAACGTTTGGCATCTTAGTAGAATCATGTAATATTCTCCGCGAGATTATGCAGAAAAGCATTAATATTATGGTGTTGTCCTAGGAAATGCTCGAGCAGCAGTCCATTCATGGAGCGTAGAAAATCCACACGCTATTCGCTGACACAGCTTTCAACGTCAGTATGTGCTGGAGAACTCAATAAAAAATTAATTGGACCATATGAATTGCCCGCCAGGCTGAATGGCCAGTCATATCTTGCTTTTCTACAGAGCAGTTAGCATGAGCTGCTAGAGGATGTACCTTTGCACGTTCGAAGCAGCATGTATTTTCAGTGCGATGGTGCCCCATGCCCACTTTGCACGGGATGTACGGCATTACTTAGTCAGTGCCTTTCCTGGGCGTTACATAGGTAGAAGTGGACACATACGATGCCCTCCAAGGTCACCCGATTTAAATCCTCTAGATTTTTTATATGGGGTTGTATAATGGGATAATCTATACATTTGAATATACAAATGTCAACCAACTAAGCCAGAAAATTGATGAAGCAAAAATAAAAATAATGGAAAGCGTAAATTGATTTCAAATACTAAAGGACAACTTTATTAGAAAATATTGGAGGCTATTTCGAACAGGTTCTTTAAAAGTTAGTTAAATTAAATTATCTTCCACATTTGTCATTAAAATCGCCATAAAGAGCGGCTAAACACAATAGGTTCTGTACTTGTAGGTGGTAATGATTCTATTGCGTTTCTTACGTTTATCGCATCGCAACAACGAATGTGACATGATACACTCATCGTCGCAAGCTGAAATTGTCAGGGTTTATCTTACATGGATTGAAATAGTTTTTAGAATAAAATAAATTATGAAATACAACCTCAATTTTGTTTGCCGCCCTCCAAAGTTGAGGGATGGGAGAGATTTTTCACTAAAAAATGAATTTAAGATTTTTTGCGTTCTGTAAAAAGTGACATTACCGTTGCTAAAATTAACCACTTATTTCATCTCAGAGCAAAAATCACAGCCCTAAACCTAATGGTTTAGTTATAATTGCAATTGAAAGTTCATTATCCCGTTTTTTTCGAAATTTCACAAAATTGCAAATATCTCCTGAACTATAAAATTTTGGACCACACATACAGGGGTTTATTCGATTCGATCGAGACCCTCTATCACATGACCCTTGTTAATCCACTACTAACTTTACTCCCTGTATATGTATGCCGACCAAAGGTTCGACACTTTTTGAACACACCTCGTATCTAAATTTTTTGACGTCTGTATATTTATAGGCCTCTAACCCCTGTAATTCTATGCACATATTAAGCATATTTTGCTATTCATGTTCGCAGCTAACTTATTGCGTAGAAGGGCTAACTTGTGCCCAACACAATCCTTTACGACGTACGTACGTTCCGTGGAAAGTACACAGTCATCTTTTATTTATTGTATAGTGAGGCACTCACCATGTAAGGCATTGAATGTGGCTTAACTTCATCTCCATCGATTATAGCTAACGATTCGTCTATACCACCTACCACCTAATTCAAGAAAAAGTGAATAAGTGAATAATACATAACAAACATTTAAAACACTCTCACCAAAACATAAAAAATTACCGCTAAAACCGCGTCTTTGTACATATTTCTATACGGTCACAACCAAGGAATGGTGAACTTGGACTGAATCGGAATTTCTAGCCAATTGAATTTTCACATCGCATCAGATCCACTTCAAAGATAAAATTTCAAGCAAATAAAAATAATGAATGGTAATGGTTAAAAAGTACTGATAGTTGTTCATGAGATTGAGTATTTACATGTGGAATTGAAAAGTTGTTATGGTACGGTAAACAGGCGAAAGCAGTAGAGGAAAATTCGAGTCCAAATGCAGAAAAGCATCACTCCTGCAAAGTATCCATAACAATTTCCAAACATGTGAGTTCCAACATATTTTGTGGATTTGTTTCACACAGGAAAATAAATAAAATTATTGTGTTGGTTAAGTTGATTTTACGGACGATCGTTCAGGCGATCTTTTTCTATTATTGATTAACGTATTCTACCTGAAGATCGCCAGCATGAAGCGAATTTTGGCGTCCAAAGAACTATTAAAGGTGAAATGAGATACCATAGCGTCTTATATGAGAATTTGCCACAGCTATGTTTCTCCTCTCCTTAATAGTCAGGAGTTTATTTTAGAAAGATTAGTGTCTCATAGATGGCGCTGTAGTAAACTATATGAGGATATATAGGCGCTGACTCATGTCTTAACAGTAGATTCCTAATTATTGAGAGGAGAAACATAACTGAGACAAAGTCTCATATATGACGCCTTGGTATCTCATTTCATCTCGGATAATTTTTTGGACACCGAACTATACTATCTGGTTGGCTACCTTCAGGTTGAACACGTTAATTCACGGTTCTATCCATCATTGCTGAGAAACTAGACAGTATAGCCTATTGGACCTTGGCTAAAGCTTTGTATGTCAATTCTGGTTGCCTAGAAACCAGACAAAGTTAAGATTGAATCTATATTTGCCACGCCTTCGAAACAACTTATAGTACAATTTTCCAAGTAGCGCAATGGCATCAAAAATATGTAGACTTTATCAGAATCATTAGTGCACCATTTGGGCTTTCTAGAGAAAAAAGTCCTCAGATTGTAGCAGTGATCATGCCCGTACACGGTAGCTCCGTTTCTTTGGAGTTCTTGGGTAAAATTGTTTGCCAAAAAGGTTCGATTACTGATAATAATAGCTTTTGTAATTATAAATTTTATATTTTACTGCTAAAACCCGAAATGCGGTGACAGCTAGGCTTAGCCGGTTGGAACTAGGTGTAGCCACTGGAAGTGGGTTAGTCTTAGGTGTAACCTATACACTCGTGGCCAAACCTAGTATTAGCCGGTTGCATTCGGTTAAAACTAGGTCCAACCAACTTGATCCCGGCTACACCTAGGTCTAGCCAATCAGTAGTGGTTAAAGCTAGATGTAGATTATTATTATTATTATTATTTTATTAGTATATATTATTATTATTCAACATTCCTCACTTTCCTATTGGAAGATAAACAATAGTTAGCAGTATAGGCACCGGGAATATATCATAGTCCTAGGGTGTGATATTTATTTCTTTAAGTGAGTACCTTTCTGATAGCGTGTGCTGTTTTTAGGATCACTGTTTTCTGTAGTAAATGTAGGTTATGTTTTCCAGGTATTTCTTCTACCAACTTTGATGTGTTCTTTGTTATCAAACCCGTTGCTCCTATGACAATGGGCACTATTTTGGTCTTCAATCCCCACATCCGTTGGTCCTCTATCTCTAAATCGTTCTACTTAATCATCTTTTCGGCTTCTTTCTCAATGAGGTTATAATGCGATGGTTCTACAACATACCTGTATATGAGCATGCACTTTTTTTCTGCTTATCTTTAATTAAAATATCTGGCTTATTTGATGGTATGTGCCTATCTGTCTGTATTTGCATGTACCATGATGATTGTGACTTCAGGTGTATCGACTACAGGTTTCGGCTGATGAAGGTACCATTTATCATGAGTTGGTATGTTGAAATGCCTACATATTTTCCAGTGCAAATGGCTAGCTACAGAATTATGTCTATCTAGGTATTCCTTTGCAGCTAGTATTGGACAGCCTGATACAATATGTTGCAATGTTTCGTTATATTTTTTGCACAGCCTGTATTTAGGATCGTTAGAAATGCCCAAGATTTTAGATTTGTAGTACTTAGTAGCTAAGGCCTGGTCTTGACGTGTAGTTATAAGCGCTTCGGTTTTCCCTTTTATTCCACCAATCTTCAACCGATTCCATGTGAGTGACTGATGCATTTGCTCTCTGTGTGCTTCTCTCATGTATTGTCCATGTAAAGGATTTTTTATCCATTTATGCTTGATTTCATTCCTGAATCTCTGTTTACACTGATTTCTTGTTTCTTTTACTACGTTCATACTTTGACCTCTTGTACCTCTGCTCTCAGCACTGACATATTCAGGCGCCTCAGGCAAAAGGCGGGACATTTTTTTTCCTTAGAGTCATGACAAATTTCATGAGGTTGTCATCCCTTTTCAACGTTATGTATTTGGAAATTCCTGTGAGAGTAGTAGTAAATGTCGATAAACCTGTTCCACCTTCCGATCTTGGAGTGTATATTCTATCAACATCTGCACGAGGATGCAATAAGCCGTGTAAAGTTAGAAGTTTCCTAGTCTTTGTGCCTAGCTTTCGTATTTCATCCTTATTCCAGTCTACTATCCCAATACTGTATTGAATCACTGGAACCGCCAAACTGGAGATCGCCACACATTTATTCTTAACGTTGAGCTGTGACCTAAGTATCAGCCTGACTCTTCATTTCTGTACCTTGCGTACCATTTCTCTCGTCGATTCCGAAATACTTATATCATCATGAGTTAGTTCCTGAATTTCTGTGGTTTCATCTAATTTGATGTTTGCAGTGGTATGGAGTTTTCCTTTAATGAATGTGGCTTTGGCGCACTTATCGAGACCGAAATACATCCTAATGTCGTCACTAAACGTTTTGACAATTTCCGCTTGACTTTGAAGTTCTTTTGCTATTAATTTTAGGTCATCTATATAGAGCATATGTGATATTTTAAGTTGACTATTTTTCGTCAAGTACCCTGTCCTTGAATTATTTAACAATGTCGTAAGGGGTTATTAGGGACACCGGTGTGAAGTTAGCAGTCAAATTTCAGCACACAATTTTCCGAAGTTACCCGAACGAACAGTGGCGTCGGTCAGAAGGAATAATATGCTCTTATAACACTAGTTGGGGACACAATTATGGCCAGAATAAAGTAGTTGAGATAAACTTTAGGGATAGCAGCCAAAAACAAGATAAATAAAAAATCGATTTCAACCCTTAGCGAATGGGTGTCCTCGATCAAAAGTATCTCGAAAAATTATTCATATATTAGGACAATTTATGAGCCAGAGCAAATTTACTGAGCGAACTTCTGAAGGGGTAGCAGCCAAAAACCAGATAATAAAAAAATCGATTTCAACCCTTAGGCAATGGGTGTCCTCGATGAAAAGTATCTCGAAAAAATTATTCATATATTGAGACAATTTATGGGCCAGATCAAATTTACTGAGCGAACTTCTAAAAGGGTAGCAGGCAAAAACCAGATAACAAAAAAATCGATTTCAACCCTTAGGGAATGGGTGTCCTCGATAAAAAGTATCTCAAAAAATTATTCATATATTAAGACAATTTATGGGCTAGATTAAATTTACTGAGCAAACTTATAAAGGGGTAGCAGCCAAAAGCCAGATAATAAGAAAATGGATTTCAACCCTTAGGGAATGAGTGTCCTCGATGAAATATATCTCGAAAAATCATTCATGAATTAAGACAATTTATGGGCTAGATTAAATTTACTGAGCAAACTTATAAAGGGGTAGCAGCCAAAAGCCAGATAATAAGAAAATGGATTTCAACCCTTAGGGAATGAGTGTCCTCGATGAAATATATCTCGAAAAATCATTCATGAATTAAGACAATTTATGGGTCAGATCAAATTTACTGAACGAACTTCTAAAGGGGTAGCAGCCAAAAACCAGATAATAAAAAAATTGTATTCAACCCTTAGGGAATGAGTCTCTTCGATGAAATGTATCTCGAAAAATTACTCACATAATCAGACAGTTTATGTGCCAGATCAAATTTACTGAGCGAACTTCTAAAGGAGTAGCAGCCAAAAACCAGATAATGAAAAAAAACGATTTCAACCCTTAGGGAATGAGGGTCTTCGATGAAATAGATAGAAAAATCACTCATATATTAAGACAATTTATGGGTCATATCAAATTTACTGAGCAAGCTTCTAGAGGGGTAGCAGCCTAAAACCAGATAATAGAAAAAACGATTTCAACTCTTGGGGTATGGCTTCAAATGGCTGTTAAATGTTCTGTCGTTGGACTGATGATACAATTCAAATACTCATACATTGCAGCTTCACCCGATGCACTTGTCGGAGATGATGTATTGCGCGAAATTCAGCTCCCCATGATTCAGCTCCCCATGAGTACGAGTTCGATTTCTTGCATAAGAATGGCGAATCACTGAGGATAGGTCACAGCTACCACTACCAGATATAAAGATTACTGGAAATAACAGGCAGGTCTTGGTGTGTCCTAGTTATATATAGCTTCAAAGGTATCAAAATTATCAGAGTATATCGAAGTTAAGCATTCTGGAATGTTATGATAAAAAAACTGAAGGTGTTTTACATGTTTTAGTTTCTTCCGGCAACTTTAGGTTTTGCTAAACTTTCCACCTCAGAAAGAGCATCACAACAATAATAAAAAACTTATTCTAGTAACAACATTTTTTCATACTTTTAGCTGAACTTTACAATTTTAACATATTTTTTATAACTAGGGGTTGCATGGAAGAGCAACGGTGTTGAATGCCACCATCTTCATCAAATGCGTTTTATGTTCTTTGTTGTTCTTTTAACCCAAAAATAAAGCCACATTATTAACTGTGACTGATCTTTAGAATTACTAAATATTTGATGTGGGTATAACAATTAAAAACATAATTTTGATTTGTAACTGTAACTGAATTTTACAATTTTAAAATATTTCATACGAGTATGAAAAATATAACAATTTAAACATTTTTTTTCGTAACTGTAACTGGACTGGACAATTTTCAAATATTTCGTACGGGTATAACAATTTAATTAATACAAATTATTCATCATTAGAACAAGTGAGTAATAAAAAACTGCCACACCTCTCCTACTATTATCTATTTTCTGTTTGTTCTTGCACAAGTCACATTTTTCAATTATTCAAAAATCTATGATGTATGAAATATATGTACATCACGAGAAACCATGCCACGCATTACTGTCTGTCTGTCGGTTTATCGGTTGGTCGGTCTGTTTGTCTGCCTGTCGGTCCATCCGACAATTACTCAAGGTTACTTCGTTACGTCATGGATGAAAAAGCTTTGTAGCTTTTGAGAATTGGTCCAGTGGCGGAGGAGAAAAAGATCAAAAACGGAAAAATAAAAAATGGTAGATATAACTTTTTTTTGACGTTTCAGGAGATCAAAATTAGAAGCAAAAATTGGGGGTTGGGTGGTTGTAGGTGGTGGGGGAGGCTGCATCTCAATTTTTTGAAGTAAGTATTAATAATTACACTTTTAGTCGTGATAATACTATGCACCTATCAGACATAATTTACACATTACAAATTTCACCGTACACTTGCCTTTGAAGCAAAAAAAAAACAGCCTACTGATCACGTACCTATCGGTCGCATACGACGTACGCCATGGGTATGTAAATATTGCATCTTATAATGGCACCAAGGGACTTATAAAGCCATTCGGCGGTCCCGGTCGACCTTCATTGCATCACTTCGCGCAGCTTCGCTTCGCATCACATCGCTTCTCATCGCATCGCATGACTTTGCATCGCTTCGTATTGTTTCGAATTAATCTGCATCGCATCGTATCGCATCAATTGTCAGTTTTACTTTCTTGTCTTCAATGTTTCCATTTTCTGATCTCTTTGATTTTATTTCCGACGTCTAGTAACGAGGAAGTATTGTAATCGCGGAGAATTTTCAAAACAAGACGTTTTTTGCATGTTATATGACATTTATCGGTTTATCTGTGTCCGCTAATTCTGCCCCATCTATAATTGTCTCAAAGAACAAAATAGCTATGAAGTCTTTGGAGATCGGTCCAGTGGCAGCGGAGAAAAATAAAAAAAAAGGATGAAGGAGTGAAATTAGCTGTATCGCAGTTTTTTGTTGCTAGTATATCAACACACTTCCAACCCTGGTAATTCTACTCACCTATTAGACATATTTCACACATCATCATGCCCTACTGAGCGGGGCCGTGGCAAATGCTTGTTACGGAAGTTGTTGTATCCAGTATACAACTTCTTCCCGTTCAAGTGATTGTATATGCGTTAAGGAATACCTCAGTACCGATTGCCCGGTGGCGGTATAAGTCCGCCAACGGGCCACTTTAGGTCTATTTAATATCATTAAGACGTAAAAAGAAGGTGGTAGACAAGGACCAGTCGACCGAGGCAGTACCACCCGCTAGCTTTTCCCAGGGTGTCTTATAAATGTCCGCATGTTTCCACACCTAAGCTATGCAGTCGGTTATCTACCAACACAAAGAAATTAATGATGATGGATCCTTCGAGCACTAAAAACTCCGGACGTAAACTCACTCCACTCTCGGAATGTCCGGGTGGAGGGTGGGCTCGAGGGAACAACATCGAAGATAAAATTTGTTTTTCGAACATCTGCGGGATCAACAGCAACATTGATGCTGTTCATCACTACCTGCAATCCAATCGTCCCGCCGTGCTTTTCATGGCGGAGACAAAAATCTCAGAGTCTGCACCGATTAACCATCTTAACTTCCCAAACTACGAGGTGAACTCCAATCTGAGAAAGAACGGGGGAGTTGTGGCTTTAGTCCGCAGCAGTCTTTCCTGCTCCAGAGATGTGTCTCTGGAATCAGGCCGAAAGGACATTCTGTAGCTTCGCCTCAACTCCAAAACATCTCCCAAATTTATCTGCTGCCTTTATCGCTCTCCCTCGGACCATAACTGGGTTGACCTACTCGAATACCTCGCCGTTCGGCTCGACTTCCTGAACATCAATCACCCCGCTTCAGAGGTAGTTCCTCTCGGTGATTTCAATGTCCATAATGAGCTTTGGTTGAGCTCAAATAAGACCGATGCAGCAGTTCCTGCAGTAGAAGCGTTCGCTCTTACTCAAGAGCTGACCCAGCTGGTGACGAGCCCTACTTTTTTTCCTCGCGTCTCGTCACATGCCAGGAGCCTGCTGAATCTCTTTCTGACCACGCATCCTGTCCCTTACAGCACTGCTGTCCTATCCCCCCTGGGTAACTCAGATCACGGTGTTGTGGAGGTTAGGTTTCGGTCAGAACCCGCTGTGGCGGCAGAAACTCGTACAGGCCGCACAACTTGGCATTACGGACATGCCGACTGGGAGGGGCTCAGAGACTTCTTCTCTAGCTTTCCTTGGAGAGATGTCTGATTCACTGACGCGGATGCGTCGGCTGTCTGTTCTTCGATAACCGAAATTATCCACGTCGGAACGGAGGAATACATCCCTCACACAGTGAAAGTGTCTAAACCAGGGTCCAACGGCTGATTTAACAAATCGTGTGCCAGCAGAAGATCAAGGCACACAGAAACTTCTTACAAAACCCCACTGTAGAGAATAGACAAGCCGACATCGAGTACAAATATAACGAAGTTAGGCAAACAGGGTAATGTCGCAGCGCAATGGCAGTCGGTCTTTCTGGACGCTGGCCAAGATTGAAAAGAACTTCTCACACAGTAGCCTTCCACCACTTACATGTCAGGATGGAACTATTGTATTCGACTCAAAGGCCAAGGCGGAAGTGCTAGCCGAGATCCTTTTTGCTAACTACACCGTGGACGTCCCCCCCCCAACGCCCAAAATGCCGTCAATTCAAGGGGTTGGGAGGGAGGTAACATTCAGGCATAAGACCGTAAGACGAGTGCTCTTATAGCTCGACACCAATAAAGCTTCTGGTCCGGACTTGATTCCTGCCATTGTACTGAAGATGTGTGCAGCGGAGCTTGCTCCAGTTCTATCGCGTCTCTTCCAGGTATCTTATGAATCCGGCACCTTCCCAGAAATTTGCTCATGTTCAACCCATCCCAAAAAGAGGATCTAAGATCGAACCTTACAACAACATGCCTATAGCTCTGCTTTCTGTTATAAATAAGGTGATGGAGAGGTGCATAAATCGCGAGCTTCTGGACTACCTCGAAAGTCACAGCTTGATTAGCGAAAGGCAGTATGGTTTCCGGCACCAGCGATCCACAGGGGACCTCCTAGCCTACGTCACGTAATTGTGGAGTAAACTCATCCAGTCTTATGGTGAGGCTCATGTCGTAGCTCTTGACACCACGAAAGCGTTCAATCAGCTGTGGCACGCTGCCCTCTTAAGCAAACTTCCATCCTATGGCCTTCCAGAAAAGCTTTTTAGATGGGTGGCTGACTTCGGAGTGATAAGTCGATCTCTGCCGCTGAGCTGGAAGGAAGAAGACTAGCGACGACTTCCTCTCTGACAAGAGACCTGGAGGCTATCACTGCTTGGGGACGCAATCTTGTACAGTTCAGTGCTTTCAAAACACAGTACTGTACTTTGATGAACTGCCAAAGTTCTGCCAAAGAGCCAATCCTTTAGGCTGGTCGGAGTCCAGATCACCGAGGACCTGATCTGGCACGAACACATCTCGTCAATAGCAGCAGCTGCTGGGAAAAGACTAGGCTATTTGTTTAGGGCTAAGAAGTACTTTTCTCCACATGACCTTCTCACTCTATACAAGGCCCAGATAAGGCCTAGCCTCGAGTAATGCTCACACGTTTGGGGTGCTGCCGCCCCGACTGACCGATGACTCTTCTCTAACAGACAGTCTCGAGACCCTTTCGCACCGGCGGGCCGTTGGCGATCTAGCTCTTTTCTACCGCTACACCAGCGGGCTTTGCTCCTCAGAGCTCTCTTTCATGATGCCGCCGCGCGATGTGCCTGCCAGGCAGACCCGCCTGACTTTGGCGTCCCATCCTAACCGTGTCGAACTTCGTACATCCAGAACTGGCCGATACGACCGCTCGTTTGTCCCGAGTTGTCGAGATTGTGGAATTCTTTGGGATCATCATAGCAGCCGCGGTGTTCCGGCATTTAGGCTGCTGCCTACGCGGCTGCTTTGATTAAAAAAATCACAGGTTTCTCCATATTTCAATCAAATGACGTCATTCTTAGATGGACTAACTTAACCTACAAAGATTTGGGTGGTCACGGGTAGCCACGTACTTCCGAAAAAAAAAACGCGTCTTGAAGGTTAACTCTGTAATCTTGCCGTTCATCAGTACATAGAATATTATGTTCAGCACAAACTAGGCTCCCTGAGAAAAAAGTCAGTCAAACAGGTCCAGACAATTAGTCATCCTTTCCCTACCCTACCTGTAGTGGTTCTGGCCGTATCTCGGTCAGTCGTGGCATTGCGTGTAACAACGGTGGTAACACCATACCAGAGCAACAGAACTCACCAAGGCCGGCTGTGTGCCGCCGCTAGCAGCAGCCGCGGCCGGTAGGTTCGCGATCCGTTTGCTGAGAATATTTCAGTTTTCAGTCCTGTTTCAGTACTAACATCAAAAAAAATGATATAAACCCTCCCCACCACCAAGTTTTTCTACCTCTACAATTTTTTCAAGAATTATCAGAATTCACTGAAACGTCAAAAATCGAAGTTTTGAGCGATTTTCAATCTATTTTGTTTTTTCTCTGCCGCCACTTTACCGATTTTCAAAAACGGCATCGTGTAAAAATTTCATGGAAATTCGAGCAGTACTTCTCAAGTTATAGGCGGTAATAAGATTAGCGGACAGACCGACATACAGACAGACCGGCGGAAATAAGTGAAATGGTTTTTCGTGATGTACATGTCATATAACGTCCAAAAAACATAACATCTCATTTTCAAAAATTTTCGCGATTACAATACTTCCCCGCCAGTAGGCGGCTATTTCTGCTAAAGATTACATACATCCATTCGATATTGTTAGCATTAAATTTACAGAATATGAGCCAGTCATCTATATGAGTTACGAGATGATTGAAATAGAAATAAATAATAAGCTACCTGTCACCTTTGAAATCCATCAGTGGAATCACTCATATTAACTGAAAGGTGTCAATAAGATTTATAAACTATTTACTGTGACTTTTCACGTTGAACATTCACTAATATTTATACATGTGACCCCAGCGATAAGCTTCATTAGATAAAAATCGTGATGGCCTATGGAAGTAGGCTCATTCTGTTCTTATTGATCTTTATAACGTTTTTTGTTTTTTCTGAAGCAAAGCTGCATAAACGTGCAGAGAGGTGTAAGTGTGTTTGGATATTAAGTTGTTGATTCTATTCTCAGTTTTTTTTTCAAGATGGCGTCAAAGATATTCGAAATAGATATGGAGGCGACTTAAGTGCAGCTATTTTGGATATTATACAAGGAATTCCCTTGGAGAAGATCACTGTTGGTTTTGACAGTCGGGCAGGTATACAATATAAATTTTAAATTCAAAAGAATCATAATTTATAAAAAAGCAGCTAAGTTTCGAATCCCTATCTTTGTAGTACAAGATGAAAATGTTTGCACTGTTTGTACAATATAAATTTATTATTATGGTGGATGACCATAGCTGACAAAATAATAGTAACAGCTCATCTTCGAACCTCTTAGATTGTCAGCTATTGTAACAATAGTGTCCGACCGAAACTAGTATTTCAGCCGAAATCGAAACCGAAACCCAAATTTCGGTCCAATTTTAATTTCGGCCGAAACCGAAACTTCCAGCTGACGAGTATGATATCGAGTGTTGAGAGGTAAGATAGGTAAGATAGTAGTGTATCTCCAATAAAAAACAAACTCAGTCTTTATCAATCGATATCATTAATGATAATAGCAGTTTATTACTAAAGAAAAAAGCAGACTCTCCACAATATATAATACTCGTAGTTAGTCTTTATCAAATATTTATAGGAATTAAGAAAAGAAATCTAAAACAGGACCACATACATCTCTTAAATCACGAAATAAATAGTTTTGAATCTTGTGAAAAAAACAAATATAACAGCTTACGGAGTGTTGCACTAATACTTTCTAACGTTAGTTTACACGGAAATCTAATTTAATTTGAATATTTCTGTTTCACAAGTACCTAAACTCCGTTTAGAATTTGGTAAACTGTGTTCAACTTTCAATTTTTGGAGTTTAAACATCGTCCAATTCATTTTTAGTTTTCAAAATTGGATTTTATCAGCCACGACGATATCTTAAACGATGATTTCGGCATCGTTAAACTAATAAATAGTGGTTTTCTAGAAAATCAATCAAGATAAAAAAGAGAAACCATTTCCAAGAGATTACCAACTATGGGATTTCTTAAGGAATTTTGTTTGTAGAACCAGTTTTGATTAGTGTTCCTGGAATTGTTAGCCTGAACTGGAATTCCCCACTAATTTGTGAGCTGTCTACTATCTTAAATTACATAAAAATTCACTAGATTTCTGAAGACTTACAAAGCTCAAATTCAATGTTGGTGCAACAGGCCATTAGAACGAAATGAAAGGTGAGCCATCAGTTGGTAATATTTTGCCACTTGGTAGCACTTCCATGCTCAACATATTGACAGATATGTCGTGCCATACTTCCGCTGTGAGCAATGGATCCTTTTAATCTTGTATAAAGGTGGGAAACATTGAAAAAAATATTATCAAAGTGAGTGCTGTGTTGCAGAAATTTTGCGAAAATTGAGAAGAATATTTGGTCGGAATGAAGCTCCGTCCTCGACTGGTTTGTGAAACTAGCCTGCTTGTGGATAACAGGCGGTAGGAGCGTTTTCGACTCGTACGTACAGCCTAAAACATTGCTGGTGTTGGCCAGAGTGTGCGTGAAAACGGAAGAATATCAACTCGTCACAAAGCACAAGTAGGCATCAGTTGCACTTCTGTGCGGAGAATATTGCATAACGACCTGGGATTATTCCTTTACAAGGTGCAACTTGTGCAAGGGCTGAAACAAAATACCATTCGCTTCGATATCGTTTCTCTGTGTGGGCTCTAAATCAATTGGAAACGGACGTCAATTTTGGTCGCCAAATCATCTTTTCGGATGAAGCCCATTTCCATCTGGGAGGTTACGTTAACAAGCAGAACTGTAGGATTTGAGGTTCTGAAAATCCATATGTCGTCATAGAAAAACCAATGCATCCAAAAAGAGTAAATGTTTGGTGTGGCTTTTGGAGTGTTGGGATTATTGGTCCCTACTTTTTCCAGGATGAAGTTGGTAACAGCGTAACGGTAAACTGGGAACGCTATAGAGACATATTGAGGAGCTTTTTGTGGCCACTATTAGACGACATGCACTTGCACAATCTCTGGTTCCAGTAGGATGGAGCAACATGCCACACCAGCCGTGAAACAATCGATCTTTTACACACTAAGTTCGGTCATCGCGTTATCAGCCGTTTTGGAGACGTTCGTTGTGATTTGATGCCCACGGATTACTTCCTAAGGGGTACTGTTAAGGACCGCTGTTACACTAACGATCCTCAAGCAATTGATGTTCTTGAGGAAAATATCCGTCGAGCTATTGACGAAATATACTAACAAACTATCGAAAACGTGCTTCAAAATTGGGTTGAGAGGATGGAGTACGGCCAGGCCAGCCGCGGCAGCCATTTAACTGAAATTATTTTTCATAAATAGTCGGAAGGTGTATTATTTTGAATAAATTATCGAGTGTTACATATCATTGAAGAGTGTAGTTTTAATACCAATTTAAAAAAGGAACCAACTGATGGCCCACCCTTTATAATAATCATAATTGCACAATCTGATATTATATGACACATTACATTATCCCGTAGCAAATTTGACCTTTGTTCTGATTAAATTTGCCCAAAGTCCCGAGAACATAAGAAGTTTCGGATTCGGTTGCAGTTTTGGTGGATTTTCTGCCGAAATCGAAAGTGGCTGGAACCTAAAGTTCAGTCGGACACTATATAACAAAGAGTTTAGCAAAGATGCTTATGGCTACAATGAAAAGGGTCAGCCCTATTTCAGTTAGGTATTGATTTTCTCTATTCTTGTACAATCAATAGCTATGATACAAAGTTGTTCTTCTCGTATCTACTAAGTAAGGCAAAGCGACGCGAAGACAATTTAGGAGAAATTTTCTTTGCACACGCCAAATATGACATGTCGCTTCGCTTTGCGCTGCCCCGTTTAATTACACTTGAAGCAACCCCAGTAAAAGAAATTCGCTTCTCTTCTCTTCGCTTCCCTACCCCTCAATGCACTCTTAACAATCTTTATATGTGCCGTGGTGAAAAAATCATGCATGAATCTAGGCAAGATATCGATATTAGTCATGACAGTTGCACAGAGTTTTCGTTGAAACATACCGTAGTATGAATTTTCTAAATTTTGAAAGCTCTCGACATCAATTTTCAGACTCGAACTTTGTACAATATTTAAGTCGGCAGCTTCAAAGGAACAATGTTACTGTTACCCTTTTTAATTTAACAACAGTGGAAGTACAGGAAAAGGTAAGACAAAAATGTTGAAATATTGTATGAGTATGTATATATTTTTTGTAGTATTTTGATTATTTATCGTATCACACCGAAAATCATCTGGAGTGTTATACAATATTTCTTGGTCACCATAAGTTGTATGAGCATATTTTGTTAGAGGTAAGTGTTACAGGAAATTAACTCGAGTGATAATTATTTTGAAGGTTTAAGCTTGTTCCAGAGGAAACTAAATCATGTGTATTTTAAATTAGGAATGCGGCTGCTAAAAACATCAAAACAAATTAAAAGGTGCTTCTGAAACATAAAACAAAAATGCTGTCCTTTGACGATGTTAGAAAATTATCAATTCAAGGAGATCTCTTATTAATAGAAATTATATTTGGTGCCTCTTGATCTTAAAGCTTTCCATGAGATCATTTCTTAATGATTCAGTCAGGTTGTTTGTGCTCACTTAACAGAAATATACAGACATCGTTGGTCATTGGCAGACGAACCTATGACCTAGTTTGAGATTATTTCTTAAACCGTTAAAGAGAAAAATAATTTTAAAATAGCCGAAAGCATCACCTCTTAATATTAGGCCCTTATTTTGACATCTTCCTCCAATTTGAATTGATTGAATGTAGATATACTTATTGCTTCGGTCTTATAAAATTAGTATTGTATTTTTCAGATTGATGATAAAAACTATGTCCGAAGAAATATCATTTATATATTTTACTGGGGCAGATGGCCTTTCTCTATAGATTTTCTGACCAGCATAAAATATAATATGAAGGTGTACGCTATCACCAACCCAAGGAACGGGACGTAAGTTTACATGAAATAAGAGATATTTTGGTGGATAGTTTTTCAAAAAAAGAAATTCTACTATGTTTTGATTTGTATGAGCTGTTTTCCTTGAAATCGCCTAAGGAATCACATCTTTGAATTATCCTAAGCAAAGAAGAAACTTCCTGTATATTGAGGGGATGGGGATACAAGTCGAGTAGGAAGATCGGAATTACTATTCTCTAAACAATTTTTGTTTTGGATATTACTTCAACTCAGCGCCATTCTTATCTGCCCTGTCACTTGCGAATGATAGGAGAATTGCCAGAGATCAAAGCAGGTGTTCTTTTTACGTTCATTGGGAAAAGTAATGCCATAAGGGATCCCTAAGGTAAATCACTATGCAACGCAATAATAGGGAGTTATTGAACGTCCAATATAGCCAGGCACTGATAATTCCTGGACGTATTTGACATCTGAGCAGCCGCAGCAAAACAAAACTATTTCAGGACGCTTAAAATCGTGGTACAGCCAAAACGATTTTCTTCTGGTTTGTGCGAATAACCTTACGTTTTATAGTAGTTTTCGCAGATAATAGAAATTATATAAGGAAAGTAGTTTTCTTTGCCATTTTCAAGCTATATTTTGTACTGTTCCCTGAGTATAAGCTTAATTTGTGAAAATCATGGAAGCTTTGCCGTAAAATTCAAACCAAGAAGACTTATATTTACATACAACGAGTTGCAAAACACGAAGAAGTAGAAAAGCAACAGTGAAACTTTATAATTAATAATATTATTGCTGCTTGTCATTATTAGTGGAGGTCAGTATTAATAGTGGATGGCAGCATTTCAATAACTCTCTAACGTGACATCAAATCAATCAAAACTGCGTTCTTCCTTTAGAACGACATTTGACAACTTTCCTGTCACTTGCATATTTCAAGATTGTTAATGGAAATGAGGCGTCCTCACCAAAATACGCCTTGCTCAAGTTTCAGAATATTTTATAGTCAGACAACTTCCTATCGGGAGCACCAGCTTGACATGGTGAATTGGTGGAATGAAGGTAGTGGCCTTTTCAATCATCCCACTTTGCCTATCACCAAATCCGTTTACAAGGACTTCAAAGGCAAACCGTTCAGTGTACCAGTACTCCACGTAAGTAACATTTGAGGTGTCCTTGTAGGAAGTCAACTTGGGTCCAATAGAAGGTCACCAACTTATGGCTGCTGCCGAAGCTGAGGGTTGGGTTGGTCATAAATAATGAGCATCTGTACCTTTGTATATGCCTAGAAGCAACATTTCGTGTAGAATTAGAACAGTTGTGGGATAGTTCATTCTACAGCTGATAGCATCGCTTGCAAGGATGCTATAGTATCGTGACTGATACTTATGACGTATTTGGCTGGTGAGATCTAGCAGCGTTGCCAAACGATCGGTTCTTAGGGCAGGGAAGAAAGTAGCGTCAGCGTTATCAAATGGATGGGGACTATGGAGGATGTACTGATTGTTCGAGTATATGGGCCTGTTCGGCTGACTTGAACCTACTATTTTTTGTGACACATGTTTACAGCTAGCTCATTGGGCAGAAGATAATCCTTTAAGAACTGATGACAGCACTGCGCTAGAAGTGCTGAGCCAACCTTCTTGACGGCATCTTTTTATATCCTTTCTCCTTCTCTATCCCTGACTTTGGGTAGTATCTGGGCAACCAGACCTTGACGGTCTGCTGACCTACAAAGCTTCAACCAAGAGCAAAGGTCCTACAGATCGTTCTGATATGAGAAGGTACGTACAAAAAAGGGAATATTCTAATGATAACACTTTTTAGAAACCACCATGGCATTTTGTAAAACACATAAATGGCACGAAGTCAAAAGACACCGTTATAAAGGTACTCGGAGGAAGAGATGACAGAGTTTTGAGGCTGCTGGCACGAAAACTTAATTTTAGGTTGTATAATTTACTATCGGGATTCATTTTCTTTACAAAACGAAAATTTTACAGGTACGAATATTTTGACCCACCAGAAAAGATTCAAGGTACTTATGATTCAGAAACTGGTGTTTTTAACGGAGTTATAGGCCTTATAGGACGCAGGGTATGTAGCTTAGTTGTTCAGTACAGGGTAGGCATAAATTCGTTGTCATTATGAAATCTTGTACAAACAAAAAAAAGTTTCGTTTGCAAGGTACAATAGTAATTTACTTTTCTATAATCACGTTCAAGACTACCATCTCGACAAAAATACGTGGGATAAAGAAATCCTCTAATAATTTTTGGTTCCGAGGAATTATCGTTGGCGTATTAGTGTAGACATAATTTTCGAAATATCCAAATGAGAACTAACGTTTATTGGAGACAAGTCGTGGCCACAGAATCAATTACCCTGGAAATAGACTTTTTCAAAAATATTTTTCACAGTCCGTTAGGGATCTGTTATACTCGGTTACCAAAACGGAAGAGAGTAGCGTATCACATCATACGCTGCTGCTAGCGCGGCATGCAATGTCGGCACGGGTATTATGTATCTTGAAAAGTGACATTATACCGATTTTTTTAACATTGTATTGGTTTTTTGTGACATTATGTACATTTCGCTACAAGATGTTAACTTAGCACTTAGTTGTAAGTGTTGCCTAAACGTCATGAGGCTTCAATTATTTATCAATGTTTGGCTCGGATATGATGTGAAATCTGCTTCAGAGATGGCATCACTGGAGGTCTAAGCTGTAAGTTGTATGTGCTGATGATGATTCCATTGGATTCTTGTCTCAAATACAATTACTTGAGGTTCAAAGCTACAAATTAGTTGCGCATCCACTATTTCTTATCTGTTATAGAAATTACATATGCAAATTTGCTGAATTCAAAAAATGAGAGGGTAAGAAATAATTATATTCACTGTACACAGTCGAATTACAAGCCAAATACATGCTAAAGTAATTACACACAACGCGGGCGCGATGGGGATTTCCCGTAAATTCTCCTCAAAGTTTCTCTTCAGAAAGCACAACAAAAATAACCCGTCGGGCACAGCTAATAGATATACTTCATTGGCAGCATATTCAGTAATGATTTTCTCGCACAGCAAACATCACTGATTTTATACACATGCAGACCAATACACTTAATCATCCAGATGCGATCTTGCTATTAACCAACTTTCTTCTCAGAGATGCAAACTACAGATTACTCGGCTTCACAAAACACATGCAACGAAAAATTCGTGTAGTTAGGCTATTCCATAGATGGACGCTCACAACGATCCAGTGAGCAAATGCGGAATGACTGTTTGCACCCTAAAAACTACCTAGTCTGCAAGATGACATTTTATAGGTTTTTTACGTTTTACAGTTCTATTACATAATACTTCTGCGGTGCGCGTAGATCAGACTGGCACTATATATTCCGTTTTGGTAATATACGAAAGTGTATGATAAATTACAATGTTTTTCGATTTTAGTTTGCAAATTCTATTTACCATTTTCGGCTACAACAGTATTAACGTACGTCCAGCCAAATGCGTTTTTGTTTTCAGGAAGCCGATCTTTTCCTGGGAGACGTAGCTCTTACATACGAGAGATCAAAAGTGGTGGAATTTTCATTTATCACATTGGCAGATAGTGGAGCATTCGTTACGCATGCTCCCAGCAAGTTAAATGAAGCTTTAGCTTTGTTACGTCCATTCCATTGGCAGGTAAAATAAGCACCCTCCCTCCTCACGTAACTGAAAAATGACAAGGATCACAACCTGATCGCCATAATGGTCACACTTTTCAGCTAGCTGTGATTCACTTCATATTCACTTATAGTAGCTATGTGTGCTGCCTAAACGTCAATGTACTTGAGCTATGTGCTGTGGCTCTCATGTGATGTAACATCTGCTTCAAAGATCGCACTAGCGGAGGACAACAGCTTCTATGGCCTAACCTTTTCTGTATTATAGTTCGCTGCGCAATTGCAATGCAAAACAAGGAAGCGTGGAGTTGGCTAGGGACTAGCTGGTACACAAGTGACTAGCATCTTATAGTTCTTTTTACGGTTTTTGGCGCCTGCGAATCCACCGTCTGAACTATATGCGGAAGTGCCAGAGGAAAATTGCACACTGGGCAAACCGATATTAGACGCAGCTGCTCTTGCACATATGAATTGATTTGTAAACGAGCATTGCTTGTATTCACTCTCTAAAAAAACTCCAACCGTTTTGGCAAAAGCTATTGATATTGTCTGTTAGTTGTATATTCATATATCGCAGTTTTATGTGACGCAGATCAATAAAAGGTGAAAGCAAAATGGTACTCAGCACACCGATTACATTTATAAATATGTATAAAAGTTTTGCCGGTAGCTTTAGTATGTCCCGTCACAAACCGTGAAATGTATTATAAAGTATTAGTGCTGCATGTGCAAAATGTACACTGTTCGTGGAACCGAAACCGCAGAAATAGGCAGTTTGACATTTGAAGATTGCCATGCTGTTCATTTTTGTGTGAAAATAATATGAGGCAAAACAGTTTGGCTCCAACACAGCGAAGTTAAATCAAATCAAAGAAAATAGTTAACGTTTACCGGTCGGATTCAAGAATTAGACTTTGTATACCTTCAAGTCTTCCTTTGGATTCATCTATTGTACAATTTCAGGTATGCTCAATAATTGGCGATATTTTGACTTCCTACGCCACTGTCAAGAATGTATTGTAATCGCAAAAAATTTCAAGAATGGGATATTATGATTTTTGGTTATTACATTACAGTAAAGATTCCACGAACACAAATAAAAAGACAAGCATGGATATCAAAGGGGATTATTACCTCCATCAACAAAAAAATAGAATTATATAAGGAAACCAAAAAATATCCTTATGATGTTAAACTTTTGAATGAATTTAAATCATATCGAAACAGACTGACAAAAATAACTAAAGAGGCTAAAATTAAATATCTCCAAGAAGAGTTTGATAATCTACAAAATTGTTCGTCCAAAATGTGTCAATTTATCAATAAAATACAAGGCAAAAAACAAAACAACAAAATCAGTACAATTAAAAAAGAAAATGGTGAACTAGTGAGTAATGATGTAGATATAGCAAATGAATTTTGTGAATATTTTTCAAAAATCGGGAAAAGGTTGTCAGAAGACATAAAAAACGCGGATAAATTAAATTATAGTAAGACCAGATTATATAACTCATTATATCTGGAACCGACCGATACGCGTGAAATAAAGACAATAATCAATGAATTGAAATTAAGAAAATCTCCAGGTCTAGATAATATAACAGCATATACTCTCAAGAGAATAAATTCCAACATCTGCGGCATACTGTCATATTTGATAAATTCTTATATGAATAAAGGAATATTCCCTTCATGCTTAAAACACGCTATGGTAAAACCATTATTTAAATCTGGAGAAAGAGAACCCATCAACTATCGACCAATTTCCATCTTAACAAATTTTTCTAAAATATTTGAAAAAGTGTTAAAAAAACGATTCACCGAATTTGCAAAAAAATATAACTTAATAGCGGAACAGCAATATGGTTTTCAAGAAGGCAAATCTGCTCAAGATGCTATTGTAAAATTAACAAGTAAAATATACACGAATCTCGATACTGGCAAACTAACTGCATGTGTTTTTGTTGACTTGGCAAAGGCATTCGACTCATGAATCGCTTTTAACAACTTTAGAAAACTTAGGTTTCCGGGGAATAACATACAAACTTATAGAAAATTATTTGTCAAATCGAACACAGTGCGTCGAAATTAATAACACATTCAGTGAACCCCATATTGTATCATACGGTGTACCTCAAGGCTCAGTATTAGGACCCATTTTATTTAATCTATTTATCAACGATTTGTTCAAAATAAGTAGTACAGGTAAAGTTATCGGTTTTGCGGATGATACAGCTATTCTCTATGAAAGCAACCAGTGTCATACACTAAAAACCACAATCGAAGATGATTTCAAAACATTTATAAATTTCTTTTCGGAAAGAACTTTTACAATTAATTACAACAAAACACACTATATAGCATTTTCTTGTAACGACAGGCTTTCACCACAATTTAAAAAACTTGAAGTTCATACAAGCAGTGGTCTCAAAGAGATTCAGTCAGCCGATAAAATAAAATACTTAGGCGTGATTTTGGACAACACTTAAAATGGGATACCCATACAGAGTACCTTGTGAAGAGACTGAGATGTATTATTCCAAAATTCAGGTACTTCAGAGATATTCTAGATAAGAAATATCTATATAATCTATATTATGCTCTTGTTTATCCTCTATTACTTTACGGAATTTTGGCTTGGGGGGGGGGGAGTTATGAATAATAATTACAAAAAGGTTGATGTAATCCAAAACTTAATTCTAAAATTGATCCTCCATAGGGAGATTACTTATTCAAGTGATTTTCTATATGTGGAGGCTCAGCTATTAGATTGCAGACAAATTTATTTTTATTGTGGTCTAATACATTATTTCAAATATTCAAAATACTTTAATCGTACCATTCATAACTACCCAACAAGATTCAATCAAAATTCAATGAGTATTCCACAAACATCAAAAACCATTACACAACGATCTCTTTTTTCTTGGGACCAAAATTCTATAACTTCATACCAGAGTCATTAAAAGTAATTAAATCAATTAAATCATTTAAAAAAGAACTAGAAAAATGGATTTTACAACAACCAAGGTACTCCATCCACGAAATTGTAGATCTGAAAAATCATTCAAAATCAATAATATTTTACTTACACTAACATCCATACTTTTACTTTAGTTGTAATTGTCTGGATATTTTTCCTGACATTACCATAATAATTCACCAAATTATACAGTATTAACGGTTTTTTTTTCATACACTGACTGTACTATTAATTTTTATTTTGTACAAACCCAAACACAAGTGCAAACTTTTTTTGGGTGCTTTATGTTTACTGTGCACAATATTTGATATTTAACTGTATTTTGTGACAATATTATTATATACAGGGTGGCGCAGAGGAACCGCATGATTTTCACGTAAGCATAACGTTTTCATGTTTAAGATAATTTTGTTTCAACTACAGCTAAATAAAGTAATGATAGTGCACTTTTAAATTAGTTATAGTAAATTATGTCACTCAAGTGTCGCCCTTCTTTGCGCTCGCACATCTCCAACCGCTCTTGAAAGTTCTGCATTACACGTATGGAGCATTTCTTGTGCGAGTTCTTGACGAATAGCAATTTTCAGTTCCTGTAACGTACGGGGTTTGTGAGGGTACACTTTAGCCTTAAGAGAACCCCACAAAAAGAAGTCACTTGCGGACAAATCTGAGAAGCGTGCAGGAGAAGGAACATCGCCGAAACGGGAAATTACATGTTCAAAAATTGCTCGACGGCAAACACAAGATGCTCAGTTGTCCACGGTGCCATGGCTAAAACTGCATTGCCTGTCTTCTCTGCTGGCGGTGAGGCAAGGTCAACCCACTTCTCTTTGCCAAATACTATTCGCTCAGAAAACATGCGTTTCCTCTGCGCCACCCTGTACATTATGGAAAAGAATTTCACTAAATTTCATTGGTGTGCGTGTCTTTGACCCTTGTCTATAACTTGGAAAGTAGCGCTCGGATTTTGATGAAAGCTTGACACAAAGTTACTACTATGCCAAGAACTAAAAAGTTTTTAGTTTCTAAAAATCGTTTCAGTGGCAGTGGAGCTACAGAAAAAAAAACGACAAACAGATAACAAAAATCGCTAAGAATCTTTTTAGTTTCAGATGCTCCTGAACATTTTCAAAAAAAATTGGTAGAGGTTGAAAATTGGGAGTATATTTCAATATTCTGACATTAGAATACTTGTGCTCCTCTAGCCCCAGCAGTGCCACTCACCTTTAGTACATATTTCACACAACATGCATTTCCTCATAAATTTGCTCTTAGAGCTTAGCTTAGAATGATAAATACTTTTGATCACCGGATCGCGTATCGGTCACATGGCAACGATACGCACGAATGCATATATGCAGGAAACTCTGAACTGACTGGCGGGGTTCAACAACGTTGCCAGATGGTCGATAATTTCGGCAGGAAAGGAACAAATTCCTAGACCTCAACGTTATTTTTTTATAGCTAGCTAAACTTTAATCAGAGTGGCGAATTCGTGCCGAGGAGATACCACCCAACGGATCTCTAGGACAGGGCCAGGAGGTATGTGAGTACCTGATTTTCTTTTTTTAGGTTTGGCCAGCCATTGGAGTTACATTTGTAGTAGTTGGTCCAGCACTATACTTTATCATATATTTGTCGAACAAGTGGCACCCGACAATGAAAATTCGATCTCAAATTCGGCTTTTATTTGATTGTACTTGGTTCACGGTTACTATACTTCTGAAGCAGAGTGAGTTGATACGATAATAGTATTTTTTCCTAACAAGGACTGTAATCTAATAAAGAATGTACAAAGACATTATATTTTGAATTAAAATATTCCACATAAACCAGTTGACTTGGGTCAAAATTAGGTCCCAAGGGAGTCTTATTTAGGGAATCAAGAAACGCCTTTATCACATTAGAATCTTGCACAAGTATTCACATAGTATCTGAGGTATAATACATAGTTGTCTTTTTAGCCGGCAGAGAACCTAGCTCCAGCCATAAAGTACGCTTCGTTCTCGTATTGCTGTCAATTTCAGCAACTTACGTGATCACTGATATGTACTCAGCAAATTTAACTTCACTGCTCGCAAAACCAGGACGTGGTAGGTTATTACAGCATCTTTCGTACTATTTTGCAAAGCAGACTTTGAAAACACAAAAATACTGAAATTCTCTATACACGATAACCCAGAATATAATGTCAATCAAATATAAAGGTAACACTTGAATAACAGTGTATATTTCAACGAGATTTTGTCAGCATAGGGACCAGTTGGGGTTACATAGAACAACGTCAATGGAAAACGATTCATCCTTTTTGCCAGGGACGTGTCAACCGATTTTTTAAACTAAGCTTATTAAAGTTTCAAATACACTATTTTTACGTAATCTTGTTCGGTTTTGATAAAATGGGCAATTTCGAAAAAAAGTTTTTTTAATACTGGTACCAATCCACAAAAATTTCAACAAAAATATAAAACTTCTTTAAATTATCTGAAAATAAAGATTCTGGCCTTTTTCAAAATGGTGGAATTAGTATACTAGAAACAAAATTAATAGAGCTCAAACCAGATTGTTTTTTTTTTAGAAAAAGCTATACACAATCTATATGATCTTGAAAAAGCGATGGAGATTAAGAAATATAATCTATATGTCGAGCGACATAGCTCGTCATATAAGTTGCTAGAGGTAAATGTGTACTAAGATATTACAGGTTCACAATATACTATACGTATATTAGTGAAGTGCCAACTAGAATGTCTCTATACTTTTCATTAGTTTAGATCGTATTTCTAATACGTGGAATTCATTTTATACAACACTCGGATGAATGTTTTTAGAATGGTACAGGTGTATACTCAAGACTATGGGAACTGATGGAAAGGCAACAAGATAATTTTGCAGTAAATACCGTCGAAGAAGGTGTTAAGAAAGTTAGAGATTCCAAAAATGGTGTACTCATGGCTGGCAGGGAGACATTGTATTTTGAGATTCAGAGATTTGGTAATCACCAAATTCTATTACCTAATTAATTTTGTATATTTCACTATTTCCAGGAGCCAGCAACTTTTTTCTTAGTGAAAAGCTGAATACTGCTTACTCTGCCATTGCTTTTCAGCTTGGTTGCCCATACATTGAAGAGTTCAATAGGATGTAAGTAGGAAAACAAAGTTACATTTTACAATTTTAGCAATATTCAGAATCATCATGTTATATCTAAACAGATTTTGCATCCAGTAGTTTCTATTATTGTGTATAAGTTAAACCAGCCCAGTACTTCTGGACTTTCTACTTCTTATCGAGTTAGCAAGTCCACTAGATCTTGTCGGCATCATGAAAAAGGTCAGTCCTGCCCCATCCAACTTATTCGCAGAGGTCAGTATATTATGCAAGGTGCAGGCATCCACGGAACTCTGGAGAGATTACTGTTGCTTATACATCCTTTTAGATTGATGGCAATCTTTGAGGGAGGTATAATAACAAAAATGACAGAAGACGAGTACAAAAAATTAGGCAAGGAGAAGGAAGTATCCAGCGAAGATGCAGATGTCTTCGCGCCAGATGCAAAGAAAGATAGTAGAAGGCAGACTAAGATGGTGGAAGATAGTGAAAAACTTAAGCCCCTCAGCTTGAAGATGCTACAAGGGGCTTTTTATCTACTCTGTATTGGAAATGCTACATCAGGTACTATATTAAAATTGAAAGAGTAGTATGTATGATTGATTAACATGTCCAAAAAGTTTTGGCACAAAATATTTATCGATTTTTTTTAATGAAGGAATTTATTTAAAAATCAGTTTTCATAAATTACAACTCAATACCTAACTAAACTATACTATCGAATTATGTGAAGTGGTCCATTCTGCTCTACCAGACGCAACTTTTTTCGAATGTCTCTCATGAGGTCCTGGACGGAATTCAGATCATTTTTTCCATTTTTCGTAAATTTGCCATCTTTATTGTTCCTCATGTTGGACCATGATAAAGATTCCTAAACAGTAAACATCAAAAACTCTCTATTCGGCGAGCGTGACCAAAACATGATATGGTCATCAGCATTATGTTCGTGGACAAACTGAAGCAATTTGGAAAGGCAGATATTAATATAGCTCCAACTATTCAAAGCTTCACTCCTCACTCTCCTCACAAAAGGTTAGGATACACCCCCGCTTGAAATTGCGCACCAGACAATGATCTTATCTGCAAATTTCACTTTATGTTTGTATCCTACATTGTCAAGGCATTTCTCTACGTTGTCCGTATGATTTCCGTCGTTTCCCTTCATTTCAGAATTACTCAAAGTGACATACTTTTCGTCATCTAAATTAATGATTATTCCATTGGCAAAGTGTACCCGCCTCAGATGACGGCAGCATCTTTGTATATGAAGGAGTTACGCTTGAGACTATTGTATTGACGAGCCAGTCTCCTTATTGACATTCCAACCTGATTGTTTGCTCTTCTCACCAACCTCTCTGATCTCTATGCAGTCAATGCACGTGGTCTCCCTTTTTTTTTGGAGAATCAGACATGGTATTCCCCGCTCGCACTTCGCTATTGTTCGCCGAACCAGCTTGTAGATACTTTTTCTTATTTCTAATTTATACGACATCTTAAAGCGAAAACTTCAAAGTAAATAAATGCCAACTGACAGTAAAGTAAGTAAACAAACTTTTGTTTCCAAAGGCAACTTGATATTATTTTGTGTTTGTTAAAATAAAAGACAATGAATTTTGTGCCAAAACTTTTAGGACGTAAGTTATTCCAGTAGTAGATACCTAATCCAATTTAAAGTCGTACCCGGTCAAAAATAAGTGTACGTGTATATACCGAGGTGCCACTAAGCGCTTATGCATACAAGTATAATAATAATAATAATAATCAATTTATCCCAATCGACCAAATACATGGCACAGGAAACGTCGATGCACACTCAAAGTATAGTATATGTATACATACCTATTTATAATTTTACAGAAGAGTAATACATATGCATATTTATAATTATGACTACAGGCTACCTCAGAATACAAAACATTGCAGAAGAGGTTTAACAGATCAGCTTCAAGATTCCAGATACTCCGACACACTGTAGCAAGGCTTGAAGTAGGTGGTCAGATCATTAATATCTATGATATAATTTTCTAATTTATTGAACAATTTTAAGCTGAGATAGTTGGGACTTTTTTCAAAATTGGACGAATGATGAAAGTTACATAAATTTGGTTTTACGTGCATTAATAGTTCTACCATAATAATATTTGGAACAGTCATCATACTCTTTTTGAAAAGTTCTTTGCACGATGTACGCGGTGCTACACCAGCTATTGTTCTCAATGCCCTTTTGTGTAATATAAGAACCCTCTGCACATGACTTGTTGTTCCCCAAAAAATAATGCCATATTTTACTCTAGAAACAAACTGTGCATGATAATATGAAATTATAACTTTCTCTGGACATACTTGTCGGAGCCTCCAGATTGCAAAACAAACAGATGACAAGCTTTCACATAGTTTGCTTATGTGGTGCTCCCACTGAAGAGCTGCATCAAGATGAATTCCTAGAATCTTTGTATTTGCTACTTGAACCAACGACTTGACATTGACCTTGACTAATTGGCTCTCAGAGATTGTGCTGGAACGAGGAGAAAATTCATGAAGACAGCCTCTTTTGCGTGCAGTGACAATTGATTGCTAGAAAATAGCTTGTAAATTTATTTACTATGCATTGTAGTTTATCAATGCATGACTTTATATTGCTTTCAAAACACAGGTAGGTGTTATCGTCAGCATACATAACCAAACCATCCGTGATGCTACCTACTCCTGGCAAGTCGTTAACAAACAGCAAAAAAAGTAATGGGCCTAGGATCGAGCCCTGAGGTACACGGATCTCTACATTACGCCGTAAAGAATAACATCCATCAACATCCACAGTCTGCTCCCTTAGAGCAAGATATGACATGCCCCAATCGTGTATTTTTCCACGTAATCCATAATTATACAGGGTGTCCCGAAAAAGGTGTGCAATATTCTACCAGCGGTTTCTAGAGCGTGTTGAGATAAAGACATAAAATTTGGTATCCTAACCTAGTTTTTTATGCTGGATTTAATAATAATAACCATTTTAGTCAGTTTTGCTTGGAAGCGTATGTAACAGGGACGGACTCAGGTTATTTTAGCCCCAACATTTTTGTGTGATTCTATTTTTGAAATTCAATTTTAGAATTTGAAAACTTAGGGTTTTCTACATAAAAAAGGTGTGAATATCGATAAATTGTGCCATTTTTGAATAAAATCAAACTAAAAAATTTGTCACATGATAGGAAATGTAATGAGAATTTAAATGAATTGTTGAATAATTAGCCATGGCAACGAAAAAACTAATTTAATGATTAGTAAATATTACATAAATACATATTTCTATAGATTCATTTATATTGTTCCCCTCCACGGATATATTTAGTAAAAGGCGAAATATTTATTCGCTTTGAAGGGGAACCAGAGTTCTATTGCAACATATGTAACATTTAGGCAAAAACAAAAGAAATATATTTTTTCTGGGAACGAAATTGAAATTTGTTTAAAAAAGAAGACATACAGTTGGATATACTCAAAACTAGCTTTACAATAAGTGTTCAAATAAATTCCCATTTTGTTGAATACAGAGGCTCGCTCGACGAACTAATGATTGCGTAGCCCGAAAAGTGAAAAACCTTTTTCTTCTTATTTCATTTGCAGTCTGGTGGATTCTTTGAAGTAAATCTTCTTTAGTCTTTACTTCAGTCGAGTAAACTAGGTCTTTTAATGACTCCCAGAAATCTAATGGACTTAGGTCAGGTGAACGTGTCGGCCACGCTATAGGACCTCCTCGGCCTAACCACCTGTCTGGAAAATTGACATTCAACCAATTTCGAACATTGCGTCCAAAATGTGCAGTGGCGCCATCATGTTGAAAAAACATATTTTCTTGAAACTGCTGGCGCACATCCAACGGTATTATATCCATGAGCTCATTCTGAAGAAAGTTGAGATACACCTCTGAATTAAGACGATTGGGAAGTACAATAGGCCCAATTACGTCATCCCCAATTACTCCTGCCCATAAGTTCAATGAAAATCTGTGTTGGAAATTTGTACGGCGAACAACTTATGGATTTTCATCTGACCAGTAATGCATGTTATGGAAATTAAAAGCACCATTCCTAGTAAATATTGATTCACCCGACCATAATATTCTAGGTATAGTGTTTTCATTTGCTAATATCCACTGGCAAAACTCGATTCGTGGTAAAAAACCTGCCTCCGTTACATGCTGCACCCGTCTAAAATAATAAGGCTGTAATCCTTGCATTCTTGTCATTCTTCCTATCTAAAATTATTATTTTTAGGATAACTATCAAATAGGTATTCATACATTTTTCTTGCTATTGATCGAGGTATATCCATAATTTCTGAAACATTTCGTATGCTTATTTGCGGATTATTTTCAAACATATTTAAAGCAATATCCATACGATGATTCCCAGTGGCCTTCCTGAGCCCTGCATGCGCTGAAAACTTCCATGGTTTGACAAATTCCGGTGAATATCAGTAAACATTCGATGTCCAGGTACTATGCGATTGGGAAATCTTCTTTGATATTCTCTTACGGCTGCCAATGAACTGCCATTGCAAAACCCGTACACAAAATGCATGTCAGTCAGCTCTCTGTCTGTAAATCTTGGCATTTTAAATCGATTTAATTAAAATATTGATTTCAATCTAGTAATTTTACATTGCTAACAATGTCAGCTTAACGTCAAAATAAGTCATATCAAATCAAAACAACGTTTGTTTGCAGTCATGGCTACCTATGCATAATCAACAATTCATTTAAATTCGCAGTACATTTCCTGTCATGTGACAAATTTTTTAGTTTGATTTTATTCAAAAATGGCACAATTTATCGATATTCAATTAGAGTACCTTTTTTATGTAGAAAACCTTAAATTTAAAATTCTAAAATTGAATTTCAGAAATAGAATCACACAAAAATTTTGGGGCTAAGATAACCTGAGTCCGTCCCTGTTACATACGCTTCCAAACAAAACTGTCTAAAATTGTTAATATTTTCAAATCCAGCATAAAAAACTAGGCTAGAATACCAAATTTTATGTCTTTATCTCAACACGTTTCGGAAATATTAAGGAAAAACCATCTTCAGGGGAGCCCCTTTAAAAGACCGTAGCGCCCTTAGGGGACGTTTGTCGACTTATGTTTATATAAACTTTTCTTCCTATTTCAAGCTCCAGAAACCGTTGGTAGAATATTGCACACTTTTTTCGGGACACCCTGTATAGCTGAAAACTTAAAATTTGATGACCGACCTTATCAAATGCCTTACTCAGGTCCATAAACGGTCCTATGCACTTTTCTTCCTTATCTAAACGTTCATACAATTTGCTAATGGACTGTAGAATAGCCTTTTGAACATTCCTTTGTTTCCTAAAGTCATGTTGACAGTGTGCCAAAATATCTTTTTGCTTGAGGAAGGCTATTATTTTTTCAAATATAGCTCGCTCTAAAATCTTCGAGACTGCACCCAGAATAGATAATGGCCTATAGTTGCTTATCTCATCCTTATCACCATTTTTAAAAATTGCCACCACTCGGGCTGTTTTAAAAATGTTATGGGAAATGCC